GAGCGATCACGGTCGTTACGAAGATTAAGATAACGCGTGAGTGTATGACATAACTTGGTTATGTCATTCTGAGTCGTGTGAGGCTTTTCTTTGACTGAAAATACTTCTGTAGTAGACGATTTCGTTATTTCTAAAATACGATTGGCAGATGCAGCTAGCTCGTCTAAGGCGTTGTTCTGGAACGAGACCAGAACTGCTTGCACCTGTTGGGGAAGTTTTGACAAGAAGAGTTGTTTGAATAGACCTTCGTCGAAAGTTCTTGGGCCTATAACCTCTCTCATCCGTTGCGGCATGTCTGTCGCAGAACCGTGTTGCAGGTCGATGTTATTGAAGAGTTGATCTAACCTTTGTCGATCGGTTAGGTCTCCTCGTTTGAGAATCGAGCGTTTTAAGATTTCGTAAGGTTCGGAAACATCACTAGTAAACATACTTGGTGTTACGTACCTGTTGAATTCGCGCGGTAGTGCCTTGACTACTGCGAGGAATTGTGCACGTGTGTCGATCACGCCGTGCTCGGAGAAGTCGGCTTCTGCGTAGCAAAACCAGGCTTCGATGTTGTCGGCCCAGAAAGGCATCAGTTGAAACGAAGGCGGGGACAAGGTCTTAAGCTTGAGTACTTTAGGTGTCTGTTCAGTCATGATGAAATATGAAGTACGATAATGAACGAGGGGAAAATATATATATATATATTCAAGAAAAAATACGAAAAAAATCACAATGTTTAAAAAAATAAAAAATAAGGCAATGATATATAAAAATCCCAAAAAGGAACAGACTCACAGTTGCAATTAGGTGTACCAGATCACGTCAGGCTCACCAATGATGATGTCACAGGTATTCAGTGTTTGACAACGCTTCTACCAGTAACACCTTCTAATATGATTTGTACCCACCGAGAGAAATAAAAAGACAAAGTCGGGGAGATCAGAAGAGTGTATTTGGCGATTACCAATATATCGGAATTCTCTGATCTAATCTGGCTAGCGATTGCGGTTGGTGTTGAGCACGGCGTTACCACACGTGATCTGGTGCGGATGCCTGACCGAGCGCCTTCAGCTAGGTGAGTCCACTAAAACATATGGTCAGCATCCAACGTCGAAAACTTACAGGGCTATTTATTTTGGGGATTTATTTACCGCTACATATTATTTTTACGTGACATTCTATCTCTTTTAATCCAGTTGACGGAGATTCAGTCTCCTGAAAAGTTTTTGGGGACCACAGTCTTATTTAGGAAGTTTGTGCCGTGGGACACATGTTTGTAGATCACTACCTGGTCATGAACGTTTTCTGGAAGATTCTGTACCAATGTCGTTTACTAACCACATGATCTTAGAAGTTGAATATATAATTCGTGAAAGGACTTATACGCAACACTTGCAGAAGGCTGAAAACAGTGAACGCGGTAGCACTTGATCGATATTGCATGTTTTTGTCGCGTACGCGTGATCATTCAGTTTATCCAATCCCTATTCACTCTAAACATATTATTAGATCCCCAGATTAAGTGTGTTCTTCGGAAGCTCTAGACGTCATGATGCTGATGACCACGACAGGACGAGTCAGAACGGACTGTGATGTAACTTCCACATAACATCTCATAGATTAGGTAGCCGAATCTACAGTTTCAGAATTAGGTCTATTAGTACAGTAGCAAAGATAAATGTACCAATGCCAAACTAGATCAAAGGTTTACAAGTCTAGTTCCGACGATGTTATAGAGGTGCTCAATTTAAGCATATCCTACTGATTCCACTCACGTTCCATAGAAGCTAGTGTTTTCGAAGACTCTCCTTCAGTTACTGTGCGTATTTATGTTTGTAGGTTGTAAGATAGTTCTTTTTCAGGATTTTCGACAAATTCGCCCACAGACCTGTCAGAAGAATGATGTTGCTCAGCAGATCCTCAGCGTCCGTGCTAGAGGTACCACATACCTACCTGCAATCTTACTTACTAAGTCTTTATGATCAGTTACTGAAAGATCCGTCCATGCTTTATGAAACTAACCATTACATTTGTCACAGTGAATACCAAAGGTGACAGAAGACCGGCATCTTGTTCTCTACATATGTTCTTCATGACCATTATTAAACGTTAGTTTTTAAATAGATTCTAGCAAAAGCTTGTGACTGTGAAAAAACAACATTCTAGAAACGGATAAAAAAGAATAAAGAGGGTGGTATGAAAATTAAGGTATACAGGAGCAACACTAAAGTAGAAACCAAATAATAAGCTGGGGCAAAATCATATTCAACCGTTAACTTGGATAAAACTCAGAAGAAAATTACACTAACACATGGACAAAGTGTGAAGAATGCAGATCGCTTTGGGAGTAAACTTCCTGTTCGCAAGCGAGCGTCGTTTTGCAGAATTATGGTCTGCTTCGTATCTGTGTTATTATACTAATAGATCTAATCCTAAAATTGTAGATATGTAGTGACTGTCTAATCTGTACGTGGAAGTCACATCATTGTCTTTTCTGACTCATCGTATTGTAACAATCCAAATTATAGCGTTTGGCGTTTGTGAAGAACACATTGAAGCTAAATATAGAATAATATATTTAGTGCTAGTAAAGACATGTTATACAGAATGGTCACCTCCAAGAGGCTGAGCCATTCCACCTGATTGTATTGAATGAGTGTTCCCGTGTTCACTATTATCGACCTTTTCTCCGTGTTAAATGTTAAATATCTATTTTCTCAGTTATCTCATGTTCGGCTTTGAGGATTGTGTGGTTAGGACCAGTAAAAATACAGGTTCAAAACGTGCTCCATAACTATTGACGATGTTACACACATTGAGCCTTGGAAATACTTTGGATCACGACTCAACAAAACATCATGTGACTAGAGGCTACTGAAGTGAAGAATCGGAAAACCTGAGAAACTGTTTATATGAACCACTATCAGCCATAACATTGTGAGTCCCATCCTATACATACACAATGAGTTTTCAAAATTTGCCGTATATGTTACTGTTCAGCTATTCAATTTTAAATCCAAACTCATTGCCTTAAAATCATGTAGGTTCCAAAACTCTTCTGCCTACTAGATTGTTTCCGCAATCTTGTTCACTTTGAAAATCCACGCTCTGTTCTATGATACTGTACAATACTGTTTTGATAGTTCACCAACGGTTTACCTACTTTAACTGTCTGGTTTGCCTATTAAAGGTACTTGAGGAAGTGTTTTATAACCAGGTGCGAATCATAAAGCCCGGGCGTAAGACATAACTGTAACGTAGCCAACAACCTAAAAGAGCCTAACATCGAAATAAAGAAGGGAAATTACTGATCAATAAACATGGATGGTGGTGATTTCAATCTACCCATTTCTGTGAAGCAGAACATTTCGGTTGTCTCCAGCTTTTGGCGATTGGTAATGAGGCAACCAATTAATGATAATGAGGTTCGTTGTTTCTTAAACCCGTGTTTTCTACCTCATGTTGGTTCCACTTTTATCACTCCTATCCGCACAGACCTTGATGGAGTCCACTTCCAAGACCTGACTATCCCTAAGCCCACTAAGCAGAGATTTTCCTCACCGTTTTGTCCATGGATTTCAAGTTCAGCTAGTGCTATCTTCCTTTTCATTCTATCTTCTAATGACACGTCAATCTTACTAGAATGTAGGTATTGTCGTGACTACGAGAGCCATTGTTGATCATTTAAAACTTTTTAAAGTTGATGTTCTGCCAATAAAAAGTGATACAGTCATGTAAATTGCTTCAAGGTGATGGGAAGGAGGTCTCATCACTAAAGTTTACTAATATCAAGTTAGGATTTCACTGTTCTGAAGAATAGCAAATAGATAAATTTTCTGGCTAAAATACTTAGAATCAGTGAATGATTTTGTGAAGCATAGAAGTTTAACACTATGCACTTGGTGGAAGAGTTAATATGGGTTTTACCTGATGACCAACGTCTGATTTGTTAAAGTCACTTTTAAGGGCGGGGTATACGGTCCCGGCGGGTTTTTGTTGTCTATGTCGATGGCTTATTCTCCTGGCGACAAAATATTCGCTAAAGTTAAGGGTCATCCTCACTGGCCATCACGAGTAAGAAACAAGCTTTGTTTCTCATGTGCTAGATTAACCTTCTTCCGGAGGATGTTCCAATTCCGAAGGGGAAATATCCCATTTTCTTTTATGGGACTCACGAAGTGTAGGCTTGTTGCATATTTTGTATTTTTTAACAACAATTTTCAGTTATTTTCTGGCTCCCAAAGATATATTTCCCTATGAGAAGTTCAAGCATAAGTACGGGGTACCTCGCAACAAGGCTGTTTTCCAGGCTGGGTTACGAGAAATCGAAGAAAATCCAGATGTCCTACTCTATAAAAAGGTGAGCTAAGTGTCAAAACAACATGATATTTCTACACATCAGTAAAAACATGTCCCTAGACCTCTTTTTGCATTGGTAGCTTACATGTTTGTGACAATCGTCACATTAGCTATCCTGGCAGCTGTTACATGCGCTTTTTTTTCGGCATAAAGCAGCTTTCTTTAACTAAATAAAAACATCTGAGGTTATGCTCTGATAATAGCTTGCTTCTAGGTGGTACTCTGGTGAGAAAACATCTACGTGGATTATTCCGGGCTTTTATGTATCACAGCTGAACAAAATAGAAAGTTTAGAAATGATTGTAGGCAAAGCAATCAAGTGCGTTCACATTTATAATATAGTTCAAATTAACTACATTTGGAGCGAAGTAGACCATTTAGATTAAATGTAGAAATGGAAGTCCGTTTTTAGGAAAGATGTGTAAATTTTAAGGTTATTACTAACAAGTGTATCCGCTTTTGTCACGTCCCAAATATCAGTGATCCTAGTTATTTTTCTTAGTCTATTTGTTTGCATAGCTTTTTTATTTCATAACCAATGCATCCATCGCTAAACCTTGGTAGGACCCAGAAGCGGAAACATTTTTGGCTCAGTTTTACTCATTTAAACGTGGATGTAAAGATAATGGTCACAGTTCCGTACTGGCTCCCCTACAATGGAAATACAAAGTCAAAAGCGATCGAAGTCAACCTCAGCTGAAAGTAAGTCCTGAGATTTTTGTTAGCTTGTGGTTTTATCTTACCACTTCAAACTTTGCGTTAAGTAGAGCAGATTATAAATAAGCATTAGGTCATCGACGTAGGAATTGGCTCGAAAATGTCTGTTCAAAGACTACGACCCATATAACCACAGTGAAATTTATTTATTTGAATACATAGATATTGGTACAAGGACGCACCAAATACACATGCGCCACAAAAATCTCATTTGATTTGTGTGAGGGCTGTGATACTGCCCGGGTGCCCAAACCGAAGCAGGTGGTTTTCGTAGGGGCCACACCCCGAGCCTTCGACCTGAAGGTCTGATCCACAAGGCGGTGGAGCATCGAAAAGAGATGCACTCCCATGGAAGCCGGTAACCAACAATTGGTTCATACGTCATTTGTTCCCTCAGGATACTGGAGCCCATGTGCACCATTGGTTTGTAATCAGCGTTTTCCAACTCCCTCAGGTGGACTAGTCATGTCCACCAACCCGGTTAAAGCGTCGGACATTCGCCTTTCGTCCTCTCAATTTCGTAACCAACACCCCATTGTGAGAAGGCAGTGAGTAGGACTTCCGTGGTAATGGTTGTATGCACGTGGCCATGTGAAAGCAGTTCGAGGAGGAAAGTGGACTCTACTCATCCGAGCCACTGGTAGCAAGAAGTCTAGTGTGAACAAAACAATCTGTGAGGATGACGGGAGGCCAATCACTAACATCCATCGACGTCTTGGAGCAGCTCAACTGGCCTGCTGTTCCGGCAACATCGGTCAGACTGTCCTGCCCTCTGTGGCTGGTGACGACTGATCCACCAAATGAGGCGGAAGTCCGCAAGGAACTCCAACTCTTGAAGCGTTACAAATCACCTGGCCCAGATGATTTACCTCCGGCTGTTTTAAAGATGGTGGTGACTTTCTGACTAAGGAACTGACGACGTTGTTTGCAAAGGTCTGGGAGCTAGAGAGTGTACCAACGTCATGGAATGAGTCGATAGTTGTCCCTATCTTTAAAAAGGGTCCACGTCGTTCCTGTAACAACTATCGGGGGATAAGTCTACTTCCGATTGTGTCCAAGCTATTGGCTTCCGTCATACTTCGTATGTTGTTCAAAACCCGAGAAAGATTGACTTGCGAGGAGCAGGCTGGTTTTCGTTTTGATGTATTGATCATATCTTCACCCTCCGCCAAATGTTAGAACACCGTCATACTTATCAAAGGCCAACAATCGTAGTGTTTCTTGACATCAGGGCTGCCTTCGATTCGTTGGACAGGACTGTTCTCTGGGATTGTCTATTGAAGAAGGGTGTGCCTGAGAAGTTTGTTAACATCCTAAAGGCCCTATATACAAACACCTCAGGCAGAGTGAGGGCATACAACCACCTCTCTCCATTGTTCCATTCGAGTAGTGGGGTTAGGCAGGGTTGCCCAGTCTCACCATCCTCTTCAACCTTGCCATCGATGACATTCTGGAAACAGCTCTGATGGATGTAGTTAATGGTGATGTGCATCTGTTGCCTGGAGAAAGACTTCTAGACCTTGAGTATGCGGATGATATTGTCTTACTGGGCGATAATGCCCAAGCCATGCAATCTGCACTTAATCAGTTGGCAATGAATGTCCGTAGGTATGGTATGTGCTTTACACCTTCCAGGTGCAAAGCACTTCTAAAAGACTGGCAGGATCCTAATCCTGTACTCACCCTGGATGGTGAGCAGATAGTAGTCGAATTCGTGTATCTAGGTAGCTGCGTAAATGCTGGTGGTGGCGTCAGTGATGAGATTAATGCACGTATAGTGAAAGCCAGAGCAGCTTATACCAATCTGGGCCACCTTTGGCGCCTTCGTGATGTTAGTCTGGCTGTAAAAGGTCGGATTTACAACGCGTCGGTGAGAGCAGTTTTGCTCTATGCTTGTGAAACCTGGCCTCTCCGAGTTGAGGACGTTAGACGACTCTGTGTTCGATCATTGTTGTCTCCGAGGGATTGTTGACATCCAGTGGCAACACCATGTTAGTAATGCAGATGTTCGGTATTGTGTGTTCGGACACAGCGACGATAATCCAATTAGTGTCACCATCTTGAAACATCGACTTCGGGGGCTTGGGCATGTTCTACGAATGTCGTCCCAGAGAATTCCACGTCGTGCATTATTTGCCGACTCTGGGACTGGTTGGAAAAAACAGAGAGGTGGTCAGTGTATGACGTGGTGTCGTGGTAGGGAAGAAAGCTGCGAAGGGCTGGCTTCTGTTGGTCCTTAACGACCCCCTGGCTGGGGTCCTAGAGACGGTGCAACACAGTGGCTACAAACGTTATCAGATATGGCTCAGAATAGAAGCCAGTGGCGATCCTGCTGTAACCTTCTTTTAATTTCTTCATAAAAGGTGGTTACTCCTTCCGTAACTGAAAGATCTCTTCTGATTGTACGTTTCTGTTTCCCCCATTATTATTATTATTACACTACCTTACACTAATCTGTTCGTTATTGTCCTTTTTTACGCTCCTTACCTTTTTTTCCCTTTTCAAATTCTCATTGTTTTGTGTGGCGCATATATATTTGGTGCCCTCTTGTACCAATATTTATGTGTTCAAATAAATAATAAAATAATAGTGGACTCTCCCCACTCTCGACTGTACCAGGGCATGTTGGGGCAATCATAGTGAAAAGATGAACAAGATGAAAAACAAAATTAGGAAAATATCAACTTCAGGGAAAAGCTATGCACAAGAAATATCTTTCAAAAGGAACTTATAAGATCCAAGAGTGTGAATCAAGAAATGAGTTATCAAGATTTACGTAAAGTTAAAGTTTGAGTACAACTACATCAATGCTTTTGATTTCGAGTAATGCCATCCAAAGTCTCCGACGATGTCCTCATCTTCACATTGCTCATACCGACCAATCCATCCACTTTATGGATTGATGTCATGTTTTAACCTGCTTACTTCTAAGTTTTCTGTGACATGCTTTTGTCTGAACCACTACTGGACGATGAATAATATGATAACCAAGGATGCATAACACATGTCTTAGTCAATGAATATTTATAACATTTCTAAATCTGTTTACCACTTCTACTTACAACCACACACCGGACTTCAAGGGTGTTTCAAATGTAGAGTCATATTCTAAAAACCTAAAAGTCTTCATGTTTTATAGCCGCAAAGGAGTTGAAAGGGAAATGTTGCGCCAACCACACTGACAATAGGATGAACAAGCCGCTTACTCCACAGATGAAACAAGTTGTCGAAAGCAGAATGAGCTGTGTTCATGTGGAGATTTTGTCAGAACGGTTTATGCTAATATGGGCCATCTTTAGTGCCTTCGTTATCTTAACTTAGCTTTAAAAGGTCGAGTTTGTACTCGTCATTGACAGCAGTTTTGCCATATACTTGTGGGACCTGGCAACTTGGACATGTGTTACGAATGTTATCATCGCAACTTCCACATCGTAGATTATTTACCGACTCAGACTGAGTGGAAAAAGCGGATGTGGTCAATTTACGACATGGTATGGAGGAGGGTTGTTTAGGATTGCCGATTGTGGATTTATCATATTTACCTGATTTGGGTCCTGAACAAATTGTAGTTCACTTTGCGATTAACGTTATCAAACAACGATGACGAATTTGCCGTAGTTTTCTCTTATAGTCTGCGTGAATGTGCGGTACCCCCTAACTAAAAGGTCTTTCTAGTCTGTATTTTGAACTGAAATGTATTTCTTATATGCATTGTCCTCGTTCACTTGTTTTTACTTATTTGTTTATTGTACTTTCCGTCTCTGTACCTTCACACTCTTCCTTATTTATATGGTATTTATTCAAACACAAACATTGGTACAAGGAAGCACCACATATTGATGCGTCACACGTCGTCATTCGATTTGTGTGAGGGCTGGAATACTGCCAGGACGCCTAAATCAAAGCAGGTAGTTTTCTTAGTGGGACACTCCCCTAGTTTTTGACCTCGAGGTCTAATCCACAAGGCAGTGGAGCGACGTAAGGAGGTGCAGCCCCATGGTAGCCGGCGATCTGCAGTATGTTCACTCGCCAACCAGGCTTTACTATTTTCATATTTCACGTTATTGGTTTGTATGAATTCGTTATGATTTGTCATTGATATGAAATCATTTGTTTTCTATAGCATTGCCGAGGTTTCTCTGAGTTTCATCAAATCCAAACATTTCCATTTCGTTGACACAATATTGTACTCATACAAAGCTTTCAGTTTCACCTTTTATGATACAACCATGTGTTTTTTTAATTGTTGCGTTTTAGCGGAACATGGAAGACCAGCTAAACGACCACATACAGAATCTCGCAAAAGCAGTGGTTCAGTTGACCATCATTCCTATAGTGCACAAAGGGATAGGAGAAGTAGTGCAATGTAAGGACTTTTTGTTTATTTTTGCGAATTTCACAAAAAAAATTAGGTTGACTTTGTATTTTCAAGTGTGTTGTACTTTTGTTCCAGAAAATGTGCGAAAAAGTCGCCAAATACAACCAACAGTCCTGTAAAATCATCCATTCCGTCTTCTGATGTAGCTGAGTCAGACGGTTTTGTTCCTGTAGACTCTCAACGTGTTTCAGCTCTTCGTCTGCGTATTCGTAAACATTCCTCGGTTTTGATGTCCCCCGATTCCGTTTCTCCATCCTCCCCATCTACAACTGGGTCAACTGCTACATTAGAAGCACGTCACGTAAGTATTTGAAGTAGTCCTCCAGTTTCAGTATTTTTATTATTCATTCCACGGATACTGTCGGTCTTACCGATATTTATTTCACACTTCTGAAATAAATTGTCACAAATTCTGTACTCGATTGTACATAGTGAGGGTTAAGTTCATCGTAATTTTCTTCCTCAAGTCCAGATTCTTAGCAGTACATACATGAGATAACCACTAAGTTCTTTATGGATAGTGAAAAAAATGAGTTCAATGGGACATAAAACTTAATACTAATGACCTAATTTACTGGTTAGAATGTTACTTATGGCTGTCATGCACAACTAATCATAAAGACAGTGTAGATATTTTATTACCAGTATCTTCCGTGGATTCCTTACTTTGTGACAGTGATAAGCTGTCAAAATAAAGATCGCATTTAGACTTTTCCAAAATCAATTTACCTCAACGTGGTTACATTAAGTAAGCGGAAGCTTCAGTCTAATCAGATCACCTTTTCTCAACCGATTTGAACCTATGGACATTTGTGACAAGTCCTACGGTGGTTATAATGACTGATCTCTATTCATCAGCACACAATTTCGAAGATCCCCTTAAGTTTTATTCGACTGTGAATCAAATCTTTCCACTACATCATCAGACTAGCTGTACCGAAAAGTTCCTGTTTGGATAACTCGTTTGTTCTTACACTCGATGAAACTAGTATTTTAATTCAGAACTTTGTAATGATTATTAGTCACAAGCCAAAATTTTCGTGACCATATCTTAAGATTTATTCCGTCACTTATGTTTTCAAACTTATCCAATAAATGGTGTTAGGATGTTACAGTTTTTTTATACATATTTTGCCCTTGTGATGAGTCTATGACACTACGATTATCAAAATATGTACTGTTATAATGCACTAGTTTCCAACCAATTTCTCGTTACAATAATACCATTTCCCTACATAATTATTTGTAGTGTTGAATCTGTTAACATCTCGAACAATCCGTTATTTTTTAAATTTTAACTCAGGGATCTGAGCAGTCGCATACGTCGTCCAACGATCCATTGAAAATTATTATACGCCAAAACACGGCTATATCTCCACTTGTTTCCATTGAGGAGAAAACGAGATCAAGGCCCGTAGTTTCAGTGACACCTACGCGTAGTACAGCTAATGAGAATCATACAAATCAATCTGATACCCATCGCACACGTTCTACAGCGGTTGTCACTCCCCTTCTTCGGAATGTCCTTCCAGAACTCAGTGATGATTCTTCTGATTCTGTTGCTTCTACGAATGATGTGAATCTAAAGACAAATAATACTGATGATAAAGAAAAGCAATCTATTCTGGAAGAAAAAGCAGCTAGAAATAACCAAGATTCTAACCGAGATACCTATCGAACTGACAGTATTCGCCTAAGAAGAAGACCTGCGAAACAAGGACGCTATTCCACTGAATTCATTATTTTCACCAATGTTAAAAACTCTCGGAAAAGAAGCCCTAGTATCAGTCCTAAATTATCATCCCGTAGCTGGGAAAAAAGTCCAGTAAGATTTATAGCAATTCGTTTCCTTCATTTTCATGTACTTGTTAAACGCGTTGTATAATGATCGTTGATGTGTTATGATTCAATATGATCAAGTGTAAATGGAAGGTAGATCACGGTGTTAACTTAAATGGAGATTATATAATTTTATTTGGTAACATTAAACAGCGCCTAGGGTAGAAGAATCAAACGTTGTAATAAAGACATCGGTTGTCATCTAGTTTGTTAATAGTTTTTCCTAACGGGTACCCTCGATCTAACATCAGTCCGAGTGGGATATTTTCGTCAAAAAGACTCTCATCCGGCTTAAAAAGAGAACCTAATTCTTGTTATCTACAATAGATCAATTGAAATAACATCATCCTCGTCGTTTTTGGCCATTTTTTCATGTCACCTACTTCAATAGAAAACTAATATGTCGCGCAGTTGTTCACGAGTTCAATTAAATTTGAATTCACTCCTTGATTGTTTCACGGAACAAACATTTGTCCATAGTTCCGGTTATGATTAATCACATTTTAAAAAAATTAGGTAGTTTAATACACCTTTTGACCGAGACTTGTATTTGTTACTGTGATATGTTTGCATATGTGTACATACCATACTGCATTTATTTTCATCTCTTCTACATGTTTTGTCGTTTATGCATACTGTTAAATAATTTTGGAAAATTGTTGTTTAGTTCTTTACTGTTTAATTAATTTGAAACTTAATGAATTCACTTATATTCACACTCCCTAACGTACTGTTTTATTACTGATACAAATCATGCGATTATTGTATTCGCTTGTTCGATCAATTAATTAAAACACTATGAATGATGTGATTTCTGTTTCCTGTTATAGTGATAAGTGAGGATACCAGCTTAGGGAGATTAATACATTCCATAAATTTCCCCATTTTCATTTGATAACTTATCCAAAGTCATTTAAACTTGGTTTACCTTGGCTTGCCAGCTTTTATACATTAGACAAACAGGATTTGTGCGTTTCGATTCGTAAGTGTTATGTCATAATTGACTAAAGTAATTTACGCAATTTTCTCGGATTGATGGTGATATGACGGAATACGAGTTTTATTGTCACTTAAGTTACTTGCAAAATCCGTATTTTTCCAATTGCTTGTGTTTTAGTTGAATTCTAGTTATGTTTGTTTTTTGCATTCAGTATCATATAAACACTATTTTACTGGATAAAAACACCTGTTTTATTGAGCAGCTAAAATCAACTCGTTGCCAGCTTGCATCAATTAGTCGTCCTTGTGAGCACTTACCACTCTATAGTATCATATCATTCCGTTTCATCTATCGATTGGTTTTTTATTTATTCATCTCCGAACTTTCTTCTTTAGGAATCATGAAATCTCTCACCATAACAATTACGATGGGAATGGGATTACCATTCTTACTGACTTGCTTAATAATTGAAAAAATTGTGCACCAATTGTCTGTTTGTATCGTTACTTTTGTAACCAAAAATTCCATAAATATGTTTGTCATTATTGTTACTATAATTATGTATTTGCTTTAATACAGATGGAGTTGACTTCCAAATCTGTTGATGTTAGAACTTCATCAGTTGTTAGGTGAGTTTTCTATCGAAAAAAGTGATACATCCAGTTCTTTTGTATAGTATCTTATTTTAGTTGCCGTGTATTTTTTTTTTTTTTGAACGCATACATTTTTTCGAATGAAATTTCTGCTTATATTCATATTAATATAACAGTGAATGGGTTGTATTACAAAAATTCATATCCGTGTTGTCCTATGCACTATATACTATAAATATACGTGTGAACTACCATAATGTATGTATGGAAACTATATGTTGTCTTTTCAGATTACCAGTAAAATTAAAGTAGACCTTGGTTTGAAGATCTCTTTCGTGTATAATAAGATATCATGATTTACTTCAACTGACCATAAAGTCAACTTTGTATTATATTGTTTTCATGATAACTAATCTGTTTCAATGGAACTAGGCATAACAGAGATCGAATTTGTTATCTATTAATTGAAAGCTATAAGTGCTTTAACTATCAAGTTATATTACTATATCATGTCTCTTAAAATGATAGGAATTGACGTTGAAAATCAATCCACTTAATAATAAATCATCTTTTTACTTATGTTAATTTATTACACTGATGTGATAATTTTAGTCTTAGTGAGTACTATTGTAGTAAACGTAAACTCAGGTGAGGAAAACCAACTTATTGTTTTATGCAAAATTATACAGCGGCTTTGTAAAATATGAAAATTATACATTAAATACACTATTTACACATCTTCCTTCAGTTGTCCTTCACATTATGGCTCTTCCAATCATGTTGTTGTTCCAATTTCTCTCTATTTCCCTTCCTGTTTTCTTATGCTGACAGTGATTCCAATTCCTGATACATACTACTTGTATCTGTCAGTATAAGTTGTGTACACTGCACTATGTGGCAATCACGCTATTAAACGTTACAATTGGAAATTATTCAAAGATGGATTTTTATTATTGCTTAAATGATTTGTAAAGGGTTAGTATGACCAATCGTGAAGAAAGTAACAGGTACACATTAAGAAATGTCAGGTCTATGTATCCCTTCAACACATCATTAAGATAAAGAAACATACATATTTGTGATGTTTATTTATTTATTTGAACACATCGATATTGTTACAAGGAGGCACCAAATAAATATGATTTGTGTGAGGGCTGTGATGCTGCCCGGGTGCCCAAACCGAAGCGGGTGGTTTTCGTAGGGGGCCACACCCCGAGCCTTCGACCTAAAAGTCTGATCCACAAGGCAGTGGAGCATCGTAAGGAGATGCAGTCCCATGGTAGCCGGTGATCAACTATTGGTTCATAATCCAGTTGTTCCCTCAGGATACTGGAGCCCATGTGCACCATTGGTTTGTAATCAGCGTTTTCCAACTCCCTCAGGTGGACTAGTCATGTCCACCAACCCGGTTAAAGCGTCGGACATTCGCCTTTCGTCCTCTCAATTTCGTAACCAACACCCCATTGTGAGAAGGCAGTGAGTAGGACTTCCGTGGTAATGGTTGTATGCACGTGGCCATGTGAGAGCATTTCGAGAGGGAGAGTAGACTCTTCCCACTCTCGGCCGTACCAGGACATTTGGAGGCATATTTGTGATGAATTTAACAAGAATCATCTAGTCGCTTTGTTAATTACAAAATATGTACATAAGAAATTAGATTATTTGGTATGTAGTAATTAGACCACATTCAATAGTTTCCCTTTACAGTTTAGATTTTCCGAATTCAGGTAGGCATTTTTTTACTCTATGCTTTGTATCGTAAATTTTGTTCTTAAGTTTTGAAAATACTTCTAATTTGTTTTATAGTTAACCAGTTAGTGTAACGTCTTCTTAATATCTTTAATAAAATATTTTAATTGACTTCATTATGTAACCATTCCGTATACAACTATTTTTATATTTTAAATATTACTTCTAAACAGTTAATTTCGATGAAAATTCAAGTATACCAATTGATGATAGTTTACGTAGTGATTTAATATGTGTCTAAAATACCATACATATACATTCAATCTATTGAATTATCAATAAAATAAATTGTTAAGTTTTTCTATTTACTATAAGCAAAAGTTTTAAACTGACAATTAAAACTGTCCTATTTTTGATTTGTATCTGTATTTTCAGTAAATTCTACAAGTTATTGTCTGGACATCAGTCTTTCTTGTTTCCCTTTACTTTTTTTTTCTTAATTACTCTTTTCATTTAGTTCTAATTCTACCGTTGTTGTTCAGTCAAATACTATGTCTACTTTCAACGATCAAAATATAAAAGACAAAGAACAACAATTGAAAGATTTGGACGCTGAAGAGCGCCTACTGCTAATCGATCGTTCCATAAAGTCAAGTTTAATTCAAGGTCATGAGGATATTGCCACATGTGTTGATAGGCTTGAGTTTCTTGACAAAATGACTATTTCTTTACCAATAATGGCTAGATGTTGGACAGTTGTAGAAACAATACGAAAAGTAAGTGATTATATTTTAAATCTTTTAGCAAACCATTGCTTTGATTTAGAGTTTTTCTTGTGATGGGTCAGTCTCGACTTTTTTCAACCTTGTTTGCTGTATAGCATAGTATAGAAGGATTTTCCTATTTTTTATACTGTGAACTTTATATCCGTTCAATGGTTTATGACTTCATCTGCCAGTTTCAAAGTTGTTTTAATAAATATATATATGGACGATTAGCGTAGTAAACATATAAATTCACTCATTAGTTACTGGTCATATTGATTTGTCAGTTTAACGTTACTACAAAGTCACACATTTATATGGCATCCAATAATTCAACTGTGTATATCTACTTAGCTTAAGTGGTTATCTTAATAGTACCCAAGCGAACATTAATAATGCTTTCTCGTATCAAGTAACCGCTTTCATAGCAAACATTTTCATAATTGGCCCTACTTATCTACGTGCAACGGTAATAACAGTCGATATAGTGAGTGTCAAGCTTGCCCAAAACCCAGGATAATACGTATGAACATTTATATTTTGTAACTATAATAGACAGCTTTCTATAAAACCCGATTTTTATTTTAATTGTAGTTAGTGAAAGAGTTTGTAAGAATGATACTGTCATCTTACCCAGCTATTTTATTCCACAGTCAGTCAGCTACAACGTAGAACCAGGCACATATATGCATTGGTCCAAGTTGCCATACCGCATTAGCACAGCAAGATGAACACGGGATTCATAGAAGTAGTTAATTCAATGGTGGTAATACATGAAGAAAGATTGCATATAAAGACACAGTACAGGAAGAAAGAATTAGTTCGTAGGAAGAAAGATACGAAGTGATTTTAATCCCATAGTTTAAGGGAGGACAGAGAGTGTATACACCGACGCCATTGTAATCGATTCTGAGCCATGTCACCAAGAGTCTCCAACTATTAGTTACGATAGTCACGCGGACCCCAACCAAGTAGTCTGCATCTACCAACATGGCTCAGACTAGAAGTTAGTGTCTTCAAGCACTGATGCCAGGTTTTGGTTTGGCCGCCCCTTACTTTCTTCCAACCATCTCCAACACCGGTCAGCATTGCACGTCGTGGTAATCGGTTTTCAGGCATACGTAACACGTGGCCCAACCATCTCAGTCGATGAATATTCACAACCCCATCAACTGATTTACCACATCATGGTAGGAATGATTTAAGGGAGTACCTTGACTGATGCCCGATTAATTTGTCATGGTTGATAAATCCGAAACCAATAAGTTTGTATTTTTAATGGTAATGATAGCCTGGCGCCTAAGGCATTCGACTTTCAAACACCGACTCCCAGGCTTGTCCCCTCCATTTGATTAAGCTTGAATATCATTATCCTTGATATTTAGAATGTGCCTCATACCTAAGTACACTTATTGTATTAGCTAATTAAGTTGATTTTGATTGCAAGACATCTCTATCTTAATTTGATTTTTAGTGCCGTCGATATAAACGTTCTTTAGAAGTAAAAATTGCTGCTCAAAAAGTATTTAATAAATTTCTCCAACTCTATGCCACTGCTGATAAAAATGAGGTAAGTTTTGTCCATTTATTTAAATAGTGTGAGATGCATTTGTCATTATAGATGTATTCTTCACTAGCTTGATTTCCACTAAATATGCGACATTTGTATGTATTAGTTTAGCTACCTTGTAATGCTCATTTGAAAATAGGAACAACTTGCCTTTTTATTAGCTAAAACGTGACTGGTGGTTGGAAGTGTATGACAGAAATACCTAGATTCGAGTTTTTGTTCTAGTTCGTGCTCGTCGGTAGGGTATATGTACTCGTGTGACTCTCACCTTCCCCATCCGATATCGTAATGAAAACAAGTATGTTTTCAAGTCCTGTTGAGCCGTTAGAAAAACTATACAGTTGGATTTTAGTATAAGTTACATTTATAGTTGGGTTATTCTTTAGGTTCTAAATGGATAAGACATTATTCTTAAAAACTTACTTTGTTTTATACTTAAACTGGACTTTCTACCTAAAATAAGAATTTGCAGACAGTTCATTCTACTCCCGTTTCGTTAAGAAGTTTTTAATATTATGAACTTTCTTAATTCCTATGACAATGATCATCTTAGGTTTTTTTACGCATCACTAGGTTCGTATTACTTTGGATTAGTTCCGGCTACATATACTCAATCAAATAATACAGTGGTTGTCTCCAATCACAATTAAAATATGAAAATTCTTCCTCGTACAAGTCTTGTATAGCTTTCGTGACATAATCATCAAGGTTGGATGATTCTTGAGTTTTTAACAGATACTAATGTGTTGTTCGCATAAAATATGATGTTTTTCGGTGTGTACTGATAACTATACATAATGTTTTCAGTGTATTTATACTAAATGTTCCTTGTATGCTATAAATAAAATACTTTTATATCGCAGTTTTATACATCTTTCTTTTTTAAATGTTTAGCTGGATCTTGCCCATGCTGAATTGATTAAACATCAACAGCGTCATATAAAGAAACATTTTCCTGGCTTTAATAAAGATGATTCTTTGGAAGAAACTGTATCAATGTCAGCCAATTCTATTCCTCCATACATGGGACCTAAATCTATGGCTGATTTATTCCAACTGACAACGCGTTCTACAAAAAGTGAGATACCAGATGTTAAAAAAACTTGTCATGAAACAGGAAAAAGTACTTCAGAGATTTTACAATCTCCCTCTTCTGTTGATAAAACACCTAATACATCTCAACCTTTAGAACGATTTGAATTATCGACTGTTAATATGGATACACTTACCTGTGTTGCAGTTAAGTCTCCTACTCAGCATGTTGTTACCACAGTTTGTGAATCAAATCTCATTCGTCACTCCATTCACCTTTAAAAGTAGGTTATCAAACTGATGTCTCTGTCCAGGATATACCTCTCCCTGAAGAAACCCCCACTCAGTTTATTTCACCGAAGGAAACAGCCATGAATTCAACTGATGTAATTGCCATAGGTAAAGAAATTTGTGAGATGCCAACTGGAGAGGATGTTGAAGAAGAATTCGAACTTCTAGATGTTTATGAAGAACCAGAGGAACCAGATGATGCTGCTATGATCCAACAATCTGATTGTAAATTTCCTATACTCCAGTTCTCTGAGCCGGATAACTTTGTTAAAACTAAAAGTATATCTCTATCGGCTACACCTGAACAAGCTGGTTTTGCGGTGACTCCTATGTCACATGTCAATTATAGTTCATCAGCGACGTATATGGGTGCATATCATTCTCATCCTGTTATTACAAATAAATCGCTATATCCGTATCCTATTTTCCCAAATGTACAGATACAAAATCCCTTCAGGAATCATGGTCATTTATTAACCGACTATTCTTCACCATCTCATTCACATCTTCGCCAAAATGTTGACGCAACTCCACCTCAGTCGTCCTCACGCGCTTATATACCACATTCTCTTCATCCTTCAGAAGACCCTCCCCCACCTTATAGACCATATATTCCGACTCGCTGTGACCCTGAACAAACTCAAGAATTAGGAACTTCACCTGATTCATCTACAAAACCTCGAAAAGAATTGTCTCAACCTAGTAATATCACAAATAACGGAGCTATCCAAGAACTCACTTCAGCGACCAAGGCATCAAATCTCAATCCCGATCGCCTCAAAGTTTGTGGTGGATCTAATAACAACAATATTTCTCGAGAAACTCGAACTCCGCCTCATCGAGGTCGTAGTCCACACGCCCTTCCACATCCATTAGAGCACTATCAACGTTATCTTAATTCTGCTCTTAACTCTGAAAATGAAACAAGTAAAAATGATACGTCTAAACAATTTACTGACAGACCTCTTGAAACGCATGACACTTTACCGAATAATCAGTCATCTCTTAATGCTTCTAAGACTGATAAAGTTGAAACTCATATTTCTCCCGTTAGTGACAATCTTCATAATGAAATGCCTTTCGTTAGTCCATCTGCTGAAGATCTTGATACTCGTATTGCACGGTTGTATGATTTAGCCATGCGTAAAAATAGCATAACAGTATCAAATACTGCTGTAGATATATCTAATGAAAATAAATCACAAAAACCCACTGCCAATCCAATTATTTCTCCCCCACCTCCTCCACCACCACTTCCTACGTCTCAACGCATACTATTCACACATAGACCACAAAATCCAATTCATTCGAATCTATCTAAATGTCTGACTCCTTTATCGTCTTCACAACAGGAACTGCGACTGTCATCTCATAAGATAAATGACAACAACAGGAATCTTGAAAATAACATAGGACATCGAGGACCTACCAATCGCAGCAATCAAATTAGTTCTAGCTCTTTACATGAACAAATTCAGTATTTACCATCTGGTTCTCATCCTTCTGGCCCTGATAATATTGTGATTAATCCTAACATTTCATGTGAAATGTCATTTAAAGTATCTGAACAACAAACTAGAAATATCCCTATTTCTGATTCTGCTCTTGGATTTTCTGGTATTAGCTTAGATTCTATACATCCCGCAACGCACTCATATCCAAGACGACCTTTGAATAACCATCCACAAAGTACCCGTCATTATCCTGTGAACCCGGCACATAATTATCAAACAACACCAACAACACATCCTCACTTTCAACGTTCTAATTCAAATCGTATGAAGTTGAATAGTGATCCATTGCTCTCTGGTCGCCGTCATTCAGACAGAGATGATGATCGAGATATTTATTCAATGCTTGGTGTTTGAATAAAACAAGATATTCTTTTAGTTTTTGCTTTTAGTTTGTTAAATAATCCATTTGTTGAACTTTTACCTATAAATAATTAGATTGGTTCATTATAGAATGAATAAAAATTTATATTTTATTCTGGATGTTCATGATATAACTCTTGAGCGTCTTTCTTCCTCAATAACGCGTATATTTCGTTTCCTTTTATTTAAAAATATATATATCAGCAAATCATGTAAATATTTTCATAATTCTGTTTATATTTTGTCACTTCACATTTTTTTTTGGTGAAAATAACAATAGAACTTATCTCGACTTGTACATTATTTGAACGATCATTATAAACAATTCAGATTATCAATGATATACGTTGTGTGTAAGTACATCAAATTTATTTTATGTGTCAAATGAGTTTTCATTAGCACTTTCTTTTCAAAAGGAAAAGAACAATAACTCCTAGACTGACACAAATACGACAAACTGTTTTTATGTGTTGATAAAAGAATACATGATCGCTTTTTTAATGATTTAATTTATATTCATACCAGCTGATAAGTTGATCAGATATAGATAGGTATAGTACATAGTTTCTATTAATAAAATAAGGCATATTTTTGGGGAAAAATGCAAGTATATTTTCTCAAAACTAAATATGTATAATACATTATACGAAGGTATTTCGTTAGAGAAGTTATTGTTTTTTTTTCAAGATCATAATAAACCAGGTATTTCACATCTTAACAATTTCGTAAAATTCCTAATGAACTGGATCCGAATTCTTTCGTCGATACAAACCATGCTGTAAAACAGAAAGAAAAGAATCATGTTATATGAACCGTTTTTTGTTATAAGTAATCATTTAAAATAGGTTGCATAACCTCCTAAAAGACTTAGACTGAACACGAATATTGATCGATATCAGTCGGTAGTGTTAGTATATTTCTTTTGGAACAGGATCTGAGTGATAATTGTTCAGACTGTATTTCTATTCAATGCGTGAAGTACGCTATTTTCTTTCATTAATTCCATCACAGCATCGTGGCCATCATTTAATAAGAATGACTTTAATTCTCGCAAAACTTCGTATCATTTTAAAATTTGCTTCGGAGGGAGCAATAAGTAAGTGTGAAATATGTATCAAATAAAATATTAGTCGTAATGAACATAAAGGATTGTAAAATTGGGCATTTGCCCATATTAGTGCAACGCGAATAAATTGAAAAAATGAATGATAGAAGAGCTGAAATAATGTAGCATCAATGATAATGTAAAGCACATTTTTTAAACTTTATTCTGACTTGAATTGATGACTGATAAAATATTGATCGTAATTTGATTTGATATATGATAATTCAGCTAACTCCATTTGTACAACGATGTTGTTATCTCTTTAAGATAATAAAGGGAACAATGTGTATGAAATGTAAAAGTTAATTGATCGTACGAAAATCATAATACCACCGTATCAGTTTTTTACATAACCATTAAAATTTAACTTGGATATCATAAAAGTTAATGGTCGCCTCACTTTTAATATTTTTGTTTCAATTATTGTTCGTGAGTTTATGACAAAACTTTATCGCGTTAAAAACATTCTACTAGCTGGATCACATTGCATCAGTTGGTCACATGAAATAATAATTATGACCTTACTAATGTTACAATGTAATTTCTTGGTTGTTGTTTTACTGAATTTTTTATTATTATCTCATACACATTCGTATTGTAACAGGGCGTTGTCGTGTCTTGTTTTTTCTTTCTTTCTAGAATAATGCAAGGAGTTTTGTATTGTCAAGAAATATGACTTGAGAGTTAGTTTGATAGAATATTTTGATTGTTATGACAATCAGTTATATTATCTGTTTCATGTATAGGCTTCAAAACAGATATAAAAAAACTTACATTTTCTATTAGCTCTTGAGTAATTTTATTCATTGAAGGCCTTTTAGATGGATCGTTCAACCAACACTTAAACATAAGAACCTATAAATTTATATATCAAGCACAATATAAACAAATATGTAAATAAATTCATTTTATCAATTTAAAAAAGCCAACCAAATATTTTATGAATTTGCTTACTTACGCCTGTTACAAACATGAGACAACTGTATGACACGACAAAGAAACTCTCTGGAAATCGCCGCAAAGCAGAACGACCAGTGAAAAGCAAGGAAGGTGAGGTAATCACCAACATTGAAGAGCAACGAAACAAGTGGGTAGAACACTTCAAAGAACTCTTGAATCGACCAGCTCCACTGAACCCACCCAACATCGAAGCAGCACCCACGGACCTCCCAATCAATGTTGGCCCACCAACAATTGAAGAAATCAGCATGGCCATCAGACAAATCAAGAATGGCAAAGCAGCAGGACCAGACAACATTCCAGCAGAGGCACTAAAAGCAGACGTAGCGGCAACTGCAAGGATACTCCACATTCTCTTCAATAAGATTTGGGATGAGGAACAAGTACCAAAAGACTGGAAAGAAGGACTTCTGATCAAATTACCGAAGAAAGGCGATCTCAGCAACTGTGATAACTACAGGGACATCACTCTTCTCTCAATACCGGGAAAAGTCTTCAACAGGATATTGTTAAACAGGATGAAGGACTGCGTAGACGCCCAACTTCGTGACCAACAGACAGGATTCCGTAAGGATAGATCGTGTACAGACCAAATCGCAACTCTACGGATCATTGTGGAACAATCAATTGAATGGAATTCATCACTCTACATCAACTTCATTGACTACGAAAAGGCATTTGATAGCGTGGACAGAACAACACTATGGAAACTTCTTCGACACTACGGCGTGCCTCAGAAGATAGTCAATATCATACAGAGTTCATATGATGGATTACACTGCAAAATCGTGCATGGAGGACAGTTGACAAAGTCGTTCGAAGTGAAGACCGGTGTCAGGCAAGGTTGCTTACTCTCACCCTTTCTCTTTCTCCTGGTGATCGACTGGATCATGAAGACGTCAACATCTGAAGGGAAGCACGGGATACAATGGACATCTAGGATGCAGTTGGACGATCTAGACTTCGCAGATGATCTGGCCCTTCTATCCCAAACGCAACAACAAATGCAGAAGACGAACAGTGTAGCAGCAGTAGGTCTCAATATACACAAAGGGAAAAGCAAGATTCTCCGATACAACACAGCATGAACCAATCCAATCACAATTGACGGAGAAGATTTGGAAGATGTAAAAACCTTTACATATTTGGGCAGCATCATTGATGAGCACGGTGGATCTGATGCAGATGTGAAGGCGCGGATCGGCAAAGCAAGAGCAGCATATGGATAGAACTGGAAAGGAAGGCCCAGAACAGAGTGGGTTGGAGAATATTGGTCGGCGGCCTATGCTCCATTCGGAGTAACAGGCTTACTTACTACGCCTGTCACTCCCAATGGAGCATAGGCCGCCGACCATCATTCTCCAACCCACTCTGTCCTGGGCCTTCTTTTCTAGTTCCATCCAATTCTTGTTCATTTTTCTCATGTTATTTCCATTTCTCGGCGTAATGTGTTCTTTGGTCTTCCTTTTTTCCTTTGGCCTCAGGATTCCATGTGAGGGCTTGTCTTGTGACGCAGTTCGGTGCTTTCCTCAATGTGTGTCCTATCCACTTCCAGCGCTTCTTCCTGATTTCTTCCTCCGCTGGAATCCGGTTTGTTCTCTCCCATAGTACGTTGTTGCTAATAGTGTCCGGCCAACGGATCTGAAGTATTTTGCGTAGACAACTGTTAATAAACACCTGTATTTCTGGATGATGGCTTTCGTATTTCTTCAGGTTTCCGCCCCATACAGTAGAACTGTCTTGACATTTGTATTGAAAATCTTGACCTTAATGTTGGTTGACAGTTGCTTTGAGTTCCAGATGTTCCTCAGTTGTAAATATGCTGCTCTTGCTTTGCCGATCCGCGCCTTCACATCTGCATCAGATCCACCGTGCTCATCAATGATGCTGCCCAAATATGTAAAGGTTTTTACATCTTCCAAATCTTCTCCGTCAATTGTGATTGGATTGGTTCATGCTGTGTTGTATCGGAGAATCTTGCTTTTCCCTTTGTGTATGTTGAGACCTACTGCTGCTACACTAATCGCCTTTTGCATTTGTTGTTGCGTGTGCGATAGAAAACTAACTCGCTAAAAAACGCTTACCAGTGTTCATTTTATGAATTTAAACATTATTTATGATATGGTTATCCTTGTTGATTGTTATAAGTTGAAAAAATTCGATGTACACGCTATCGTTCTGTGAACTTATTTCCTTTATAAAGTCACTTTTTTTTATGTATATAATGTGAAGACATTTTAACTTGACGTACATCATGGTTCAAAATATCATATTTCTTATATGAATTTTACAATTGCCAAATATCCAAGTAGATAGTTGAACATCCTAAGTATTTCAGTTGATCTACATTCATCTAACATTATCCTGAACTGAAGAAACTCGATGCATACTGTCTGATCATTAAAACATTAGCCTACCTTCGGATTTCATGAAAAAAGGAAGTTTAGAGTTTGACACTGAGATCCTATTTCACTTGGCGGAAATGATGGATATATCAGAAAGCTTTCAAGTAAATATCATTGTCAATTCTAAAGCTTATTAGGGTTAAACCATCTTTTCTGAACTCAGCAAGTAAACGTTTTAGGTGTTATTACCATTCACTCAGATATCTAGTTTCGATTCCCATTTATTGCGTAATAATTACAGAACCGATTTTTATCTTTATTGGCTTATAATGCGGTTGATATTGTAACAAACAGAAACCAAGAAGTTATTGCACCTCATTATCTACCAGTTAAAACCGTTTTTGTACCCACTTCGTGTATTCGCTGTACATTTTGTCTGGTATGATAAATTTATTTTGTGTATACTTGGCAAATCAGGTTATTCTACCAGTCTAAACGTGTTTTATAAGTGGTTGAAAAATGGTCGAAACTGGATGTCAGAAATAACAAATGGAAGATAGTAGCTCTATATCGTGGATTGGTTTAAGTTAGACATGAACACTGTTGTACCCCGTCACAGTAGTCTGGGTGTTAGGTGTTTGCGCGAGACAGAAGGTCCTGGACTCGAGTCGTGAGTGTGAGATCGTAGATGTGCACTGCTAAGGAGCTCCATACCAGGACGAAATGGCCATCTAGTGCGCCTAGGTCTTCAATGGTAGTCTAACATTAATTGGTTCATGATCTCAACAATCTTCACAGCCCTATACAGAGAAATAACAGAGTTAGGAATTTTTTAAAATTATTTCCAAAGTTCTCAGCCTTAATCTTACGATAAGGAGTGCTTACTGTCTCATTTAGTGAAGAAATTCAATTTGAAAGTTAATCACTCTACTCTTTTCAACACTAATTGTTATAATTATCTCGCTCGAGAACGCATAGTAAAATATCTGAACTACACAGCACCTAATCGAATGTTAACTACATCAGAAAATCTGCATCGATTTATTGGTTGCTCATTTATACCACTGATAAGAGTACGTAAACATAATACCCTTTTCTCAAAAGTCTTATAAGTATTTATTAGTATGGAAAGCACTTGTCTTTCAATTATTGACTCATCAGTCCAACCATCGATTCTTCTACTTTAATCTGCTTCGGTTTGGGCACCCGGGCAGTATCACAGCCCTCGCACATATCGAATGAGATTTGTGTGGTGCATATGTATTTGGTGCCTCTTTGTACCATTATCTATGTGTTGAAATAAATAAGTAAATAAATAATAATCTGCATACTATTATTAGCTACTATACGAAAAGTATCTCTGAGCCGAGTACGTAAATTTGTACTTATTTATTTTGCTGAACCAAATGACTTGAGAACAATCTATTTATCAGTGTTCAGTAGATAATAAAAATATACAAATCTTAAAATGGAAGATATGTTATATTGTGATCAATGGTTCGTTTCTTTTCTGATTGTGCATGACTCTGTTGGTAAAATTCATATTCTCTGGTGATTCAGTTGAAATCCATTCCGATTTTCATATGATAATATACTCGGTCATATCACTAATAATTTAATGGTCTACACGCAAGAATTAATTTCATTCCTACTAGATCGATTGAAAATAAAACCTTGGAGATTATGTTCTATTATACAAAACATACCTTCATGGAACTTGGTATGCAGTATGCACGACCATCATCTCGCTGACCATTCAGTAAATATTTAATACAGTGACATAAATCCAATTCTTCATATGGATAGCATCGAGTGTTTATTTCAAATATGATTGTTCTATCGTGAAATTAACAGTACAAGTAGACGGAAAGTAATTTCTAAAAATAAATTTACTAATATTATTCGCATGTAAAATAGTAAAGAACTTGGATATTGTAATAAGATGAAGGTTATCAGAATTATGTGACTGCCAAAAAATATAGTTAAGACAGGCCATAAGATTGATCCGAACACGGCTTTTGTGGTGTTGTACAAAAGTGCTAAAGGGTGTATAGTATTGTTTATTGAAGCATTGATCGTACGAAAATTCACTCCCCACTATCCGCATTCAAAAATAGTTCATTCTCATCTGAAACCTACCCTGGTAATATCCAGTGTGATGAGTTTCATCCTGTTTTTCACGTTATTTTCTTTATTATCTTTGTTTTCTCTTGCCCTCCATTTCTAGCATAGTTGATCTATAATTTTTATGTATAAGTGTTCTTATTAAGCATATGTGTGATCAAATTGTTCGAAATGTATTGCTCTAATATATATCACATAGTTCTGACAAACTTTGTTTTCTTGTTACACTGTTAAAATAATTAAACATGTTTATGCTAACAGGTTGTAGCTAGTAAAATGGATTGTAGAAATTGTTTACATTCAGTTTGTAAATAAATGTTTCTTCTAGAAACCTAATTTGCACTGTATATAAATACTGTTTATGAAGAGACAGGATATTTGGAAACATTATGTGGGCGAAATCCCTTCTCATCGTACTACAGTAAGCAGTACAATTTTTAACTGGTGCCTTAACTGTGCTAGGTTAAAGAATGGTAAGATTAAATGTATTTGCCCAGTATGTTGGAATCTTAAGCAGCAAGGTTTTCAAGTAATAATTTCTCTTGTCATCACAATAGATAGATCTAGTCATCGTAACGAATTATTATTTATGCTCAGTGCTGAATCATTTTCTCCGGTTTAACCCATAACTATGTTTCGTTTGTTCATACATATCCCAATTAATATCTATTTACATATTGAGTATGAATCACACAGTCAACATTTTCTTCAGATTATCCATTATCTACTTTATTTCATAAACAATCCTAAATTCACATGTTATAACATTCAATGACTTGTTTATCTTAAACGTGGTCTATTTTGGATTATTACTTTGGATAATATAATTGTAGGATCCAGAGAGAATTTATTTCAGTGAATATTTTTTGTTCATATACCAGTATTTTCATATGATGGAGGTTATAAAGCATTTTAGTCAGTCAGCAACAACGTAGAACTTCGTACGTACGTACGTACATCAGTCCGAGTTGCCATACCACATTAGCACACAAATGCAATTATCGATTCAAATTCCATAGTGAGGTAGTAAGAGCATAAGCAGTAATCGCAAACATTAGGGCTTGAAGATGTTATTCAAGGAGTATAATACAGTGAAAAAAATTTGGAAAGAAAATAAGGGACATGAAGAATTCAGAAGATTAGAATTTGGGAGAACTCGAAGAGTGGATGCGCCTGCATCATTGCAAACGATTTTGAGCCATGATATTCAGGGTCTCTAACCATCGGTTAATATCATCTCGCGGACCCCAACAAAGTAGTCTGCACCCAACAACATGGCTCAGTCCACTTGTCAGTGACTTAATGAACTTGTGCCATGTTTTGGTCTGACCGCCCCTAGCTTTCTTCCAACCTACTCCTACACCATAAAACATCGCACGTCGAGGCAGTCAGTGCTTGGGCATACGTAACACGTGTCCCAGCCATCTTAAATGATGACGTTTCAATACTTTATCAATTGATTTGTCATCCTTACCTAGTACCCGTTTCCTAACAACTGTGTTACTTACTCGATGGTCCCATGATATACGAGCAATGTTTCGAAGACACCTATGATCGAATACTAGTAACCTACGAATATCCTCTACTCTTACCGGCCATGTTTCACTCCCATAAAGTAGGACGGAACGAACTGCTGCGCAGTAAACACGTCCTTTGGTTGATAGACGGATATTTCACCTACTCCATAAATGACGCAAGTTGGTAAAAGCTAGTCGAGCCTTCTGTATCCGTGCTGAGATTTCGTCACATACTAACCACAAGGGCTGATGAGACTTCCAAGATAAGTGAAGTGATCGACACACTCAACTACTTCACTCCCTATCACTAGTTCGGGTGTCGATGTAACCCAATCCTGAAGCAACATTTTGCATTTCGAGGGAGAGAATCGCATCCCGAACATGCTTGCATTGTTGCTTAGAGTGGTCAGAAGACTCTGCATTTTGTCAGTGTCTTCACCAAATAAAACTATGTCATTAGCATATTCTATATCAACAAGTGAACCTCCCGGTAGAAGTTCAACCCTGTAAATTTAGATGAGGAGAGTGTTATCTCTAAAAGTACGTCAATGACAAAGTTGAACAAGAATGGGGAGAGTGGACAGCCCTGACGAACACCACTTGAGGTAATCAATTCTGATGACAGTTCGCCATAAGCTCTCACTCGACCAGTTGTGTTCGAGTAGAGAGCCTTTATAAGGTTAATGTACTTCTTTGGTACTCCTTTCAGTGACAAACACTGCCATAGAACCTCACGATCAACAGAGTCGAATGCTGCCTTAAGGTCGAGAAATGCTACTATTGTGGGGCGTCTGAATATGTATCTATATTCAAGGACCTGACGTAATATGAATATCTGGTCTATACATCTACGTCCAGGATGAGAACAAACCTGATTTTCTTTAATCTGCTCTTCACAAACATTTACAATGCTTACATATTATTCTGTTTAGGTCTATCATTGATTATGTTTCATATAAATCTAACATATTTATCCTTCTTATAAGAATACATTAGAGTTATTGTATTGGTACCAGTTAAAATCTCCCTCCTGCCACTCATCTCAAAAAAGAAACATTCATAACAATAATGAAATATATGAAAGATAGAAAGAATAATAAATTATAATCTTACCCAAATGCAAATATATCAGTATAAGTAGTAAATTCTATTATAGGTATATGTACACAATTAATTAATAAATTTTTTTGTTCTGATTTTGATATATATTGACGAATTGTTTTCATGAAATTCATTTTATGCGGTCTAATGAATTTCATTAATTTATTATTATTATTATTATTATTATTATTATTATTCATTAATTGTTTCGATAAATATAGATTTGGTAATGAAATATATTTTGATAATTTTGGTATATCAATTGTATTATTTAGATTAGACCATGATTTCATTAGAGTTGATTTAGTGAAATGAGATTTCATTAATTGTTTATAATTGAATGAATTCAATGAATCTATATTATGTATATTCATTAAATGAATTGTAGATAATGTAGATGATTTATGATTAGATAGATCATATTTTAGTAAATCAATGAATTTTGATTTATTCATTATGAATTGACAATTATTTTCATATAATTTTTTTAATTGTTTATCAATATGAATTAAAAGTTCTGGTGCTATATATTTTAATCCATCTAATGGAATTGGTATATGATCTGGTCTAAATTGTTATTTATAAAAGAAAATAAAAATAAATAATAATAATAAGATGATACGTTCTGAATTCGAAAGTTTCGGGGGAGGGGGATCATGGACGTGCAGTCAGTCAGTCAGTCAGTCAGTAACAACGTAGAACTTCGTACGTACGTACATCAGTTCGAGTTGCAACACCACATTAGCACAGAGATGCAGTGGCCGATTCAAATCCCGTAGTGGTAGAGGTAAGAGTATAAGCAGTAATCGGGAAGATTAGTGTTTGGAGATGTTACTTAAAGAGTATAATACAGTGAAATAAATTTGAGAGGACGTGCATTGCTGAGGAGTTCCATACCACGACGAAACGGTTGTTCAATGCTTTCAGGTCTTCCATGGTGGTTTTGTAGTGAATGAGAATACAGGTGATGACAACCGAATTATTATTTAGCACAGCATTACAGAGTTACTTGGTAAAATAGAAAATCATACTATAATACTTAATTTGTAAAATGTTCAATAATTGTCTCAAACTTCATTGTTCTTGCATTTCCATACTAATTGCTTTCTGTTCCCGCTCTTCCCTTCTTGATCTCCATCTTCTGCCGCCAGACATTACATTCCTGACTCGCGTCACATACTACTACTTATATCGATATAAGTAGCACGCACCACAGTTTAACTTCAATTGACTCATGATTTCAACAATTAAAATTAAATTTCTTTTTGTTTATCATCATCGTTATTCATTAAGATTTTATTTCGATAGAACAATGAGAAGATAGATTTGATCTAAAAAATCTCATTTTTATTGAAGCCATGGCTATTCGTAAATTTACCCCCCCTTGATATGTACAAAAACAATTTGTCGTAACCTTGAATTTACTTTGGTAATCCCTAAGTCATTCTATGGCCTAGGATAATGCAACGATTTCTTATTCATTCTATACGATGTACAATTGTTTCTCTCCTCTTTTTACTTTTTTACTTGAACCTTCATTTAATTGACCTTTATTAGTTTTCATATAAAATGCCTTGACAAGTATATGTGCATGACCAGATTGTTCGAAATGTATGGCGCAAATACATCACATTTTTCAGATGAACTCCGTCTTCTCATTGTTCTGTCGAAATTTATAAAAGGAACTAATTGCTTTAAATTAAGATTTTATTAAATAAGAAAGATTAGTTCAGCGAAGAGTTCTCTTTTCGGTGAATTCATCTTCAAAGCTGTACAATCGCAAATATATATATACTTATTTTTACAGGATGATAATAATACTGATAATAAACTTCTGTTATACATGGTGACAGTGAGGTTAAATAAACCAAGATATTAAAAAATTTTTAGAACAAGGAAAGTTTACTAATCGTTTGATTGTTAATCGCTTAAGTATTCATCAAAAGATCGATTTTATTGTTTATATTATTTCAATATGTATGTCTGTGAAGTTGAAGTGCATCTATCTTTCAATGTCCTATACATGTATAATAATTTCAATGGTTAGGATCATGAGTCAATTGAAGCTAGATCATCATGAAAAACCTAGAAGCACTGGACGGCCGTTCGGGTTTATTGTGGGACTCCTCAGCAGTGCGCATCCACGACCTCGCCTCCTGCGAGATTCGAACCCAGAACCTACTGGTTTCGCCCGCGAATCCATTTATTTTAACAGATTCGGTATATAATAGTATAATTTTCATTGAATATTTCATTTTAAGCTGTAACATCCATTCAATTTGTTGAGATGTACTACAGATATCTTTATATCATTAAAATGAAGTTGTCAATGAAAAGTACACTTATATGCAGCATTGATATTAGGTAGACGGAAAAAATACTTGAAAATGTAAGATACTTCACTTTTATGAAATATTGAGAAAGGATGATTATTCTCAGTTGATATTTGATATGATCGATTAATATGGGAATGTGACGTGCTCCTACTCATGAGCGGTCGGTGAGAAATTCTAAATGGGAAATGCTATTGAAAGAAACAGAGTATGAACCTTTTAAAGTCTCAGCTAACAAGTATTTATTTGAATCAGATAAACCCTTTTATGAGTTAAACCTTCTCATTCATTCCAATCTTCGCATTTATACACTAGATTTGAAGTGCTGTAGGAAGCTTCTACCATAACTTAACCAAACAGTAGAACACATCAATATTTATAAGTTTTTCAAATTTGTTTTGTAATTAATTTTCCAGTTTGTAGTCTACTTTGGCTAGATATCTTTTGAAAATCAGAGTATAATGAACAGCTATTTCGCACTAGTATGGAACTCTTCTAGAGATTGAAACTAGGGAACTCAGTGACCTGGGTGAATGCGTTACTACAGAGTCCAACCTTAATATCTAATATCGTTGATATTATTCACTGTTATACTACTTGACATATTTTGTTAAACTGTGCATACTATTGGAAAATATTAATGCTCAGTTATACTTGAACAACATAGGTGTCCATTATTATCTCAAAACATTTGTTATAAAATGAGTTAGAGCATCTTAAAATAAACGAGTTTCAACTCTATAGTTTATAGAAATTGTGTTTTTTGAAAGATTTGAAACTTCTACATTTAATCATGCATCGAGTCATGCATAGCATAGATACTAGGTTAAACCCAACGCCTTCGGTTTTGAGCGAATACCTAACCCCTAGAACAATGAGCCGGGATCCAGCAGTGTTAATGTCCAACTTCAACCAATCTACGATGTTGCGTCACCATATTCCATTGTTTGCGGTGATTATCTGCCTCACATTTGATAAGAATTAGCTACGTTGGTCATCAGTAAGATAAGTTCATGATTTTAATTAAGGACAACAATCTCTACAACTCTGTAATAAAAATAATTTTTATAAGGCATATTGGTTTCTTATACCGCACATAAACTCAAACACAATCCCTTTAACAAATATTAAATATTCTTATACTAAACAAGTACGGTTGAAACGGCGCCAAGTTTACTTAAATACTCTGTATTTAGAAATCCAAAATTTAATTTGACAACTAAATATTTAAAAACTTACTTGCGCCTGTTAACCCTCGTGGAAGAGCATTAGCCACCTATCAGCATTCTTTATCCAACTCAGTCCCGGTAAACTGTAGTAGTTCTCCACGTTTCAGCTCCGTACAATAGATCTGTCTTGATGTTTGTATTGAAGATCCCGACTTTTATATTGGTTTACAGTTATTTTGGATTCCACATGTTGTCCAGCTGTAGGACCGCCCTCTCTTCTCCAATCTTTGCCTTTATATGTACATGAAAGTTTTCACCTCTTTCAGAGTTTCCCCATCAGGTGTGATTGTGTTGATGTTCTCCGAGTTGTATTTGAGGATCTTTGTTTTTCTCCTGTGTATATTTAGGCTGCTGCTACACTGTCTTGACCTGCATTTTTGATGCGTATGGGATAGAGGAGTTTCGTCACCTATGGAGCTCAAATCATATAGTTGCATCCAAGCTATCTATTGTATTACGTGCTTCCCGTTAGATGTGGAGGTCGTCATAATCTAGTCAGCCATCAGAAGAAAGAGAAGGAGGAGATTAGGCAGCCTTGTCTGACTTCGACCCTCACTCTAAATGTGTTTGTGAGCTGTCCTACATGCACGAATTTGCGGTGAAGTCTATCATATGAATTCCGTATGATGATGATTTTCTCAGGTACGTAGAATAATGTTCCACACTATCAAACGCTTTCTCACAGTCCAGTAAGTTGATGTATGGTGAATAGTTCCAATTGTTTGGTTGTTCAATGATGATCCGTAGTGTGGCAATTTGGCATGTGCACGACCGATCCTTACGAAATTTGGTCCGTTCATCTCAAAGAGGAAGACCAAATAACACACTGAATCGGGAATCTGAAGAACACCTGAAAATGATGAATAGTTACTGGAAACAGCTGGAAAGAATTGCCCATGATAGAGTTGGATGGACAGTGCTGGTGGGCGGCTAGTGCTCCTCCACGATGGGTAACAGGTGTGTGTACGTAAGTAAGTAATAAATTCTTAATATAATTCGGTTTGCAAAGTTTAGACAAACGTACAAAGCTAGTTACACTTCCCTTGTATTAACTTGTGATTACCTCTGCAAATTAGAAAATATTTGTGCTGGTTTTCTGCTAATGAATTCGAATTTTTTATGAGATTTTCTAAGTTGGTTTGGGTGTAATTCAAATCTGAGCATGAATGCTCGATAGGCATGTTTATACACAAAGTTTCTAATATTCAATAGATGTTTTATATCCATCTGTTTTTGTCCATTTGTTAGGTGAATTCAATATTTCAGAATGTATTTTACATTTTGGACGTCTAAATTCACCCCTACTCTCTAGTATGAATAAATTAGTACAGCACAGCCTAACATCGAAGATAAAATAAACAGTGAAATTTAAGGCTTGAAATAAGATCATCGATAATGTCTTGACTGTAACGTACATCTCTCACACACCAAATGAACATAAAAAACGGTTAACTTTTATTTTATTAATTACTTCATTATTTTATAATTCTTATCTAAGTAATATATTCTTAATTTTATCTGTTATGATAATGGTATTCATAATTGCTCCGCGTACCTTACTACTTGATCGGCGAAACTATAATTTATGGACGGGCCAATCAGAAGCGTTTGAGAGATTTCAAGGTCACAGCTCCAACTTCAGTGCTTAATGCTAACGTACGATCGGTTCACAGGGAATTTTATACAAAACGTGATAATTGAGCGGCTATAACAAATAAAATGGCATGACCCTAATTTGTGGACGAATCAATCAGGTATTAGATAACAGATCTTGGATTTTGGCGCGAAAGTGTTTCATCTATTCGGCTAAATAGAGTTTTGGCATTATAACTGATGTCAGTTCGTGATGAAAACCATATATATATAATTCCTAAATGAGGCAAATTATGACTATTATTGCGGACTGGATAATGAAAGCACCAGTAACACTGGCTGCAGCCAGGTACTACAATATATACGGATGATTGGAAAGTGTACAGACTCCTACATAGGCTTAGTTATGTGCATCGTGTAGTTATCCACATGTGGCATTTTGTGTACTCAACAACCGGAGTGCACATAAACAATATTGAAGCTATATGATCGAGGCTGAAAGAGTTTTCGAGACTTTATCATATCTCCAGAGGTCGACTATTCTGTAGCCATATAAATGATTTCCTCTACTGTATACATTACAATTTTAGAACCTCTGAACCTCTTTCTACACTTGACAAATTTTTGAACCACGTGTAAGAAGTGTATCCATGTTATTTCTTTGGTTTTGTATAACATTTTTTCTTCTATACTGTCTGTTGCTGATTGGCTAATATTTCTCAAGGTCATTTAAGATTCATTCAAAGGTTATCCATAAATTATCGTCTCGGTTTTTTTAATTTAAGTAGTATTTTATATAATATAAGTAGTGTAATCTATTTTAATAATAAATAAACAAAAAAAAAATAAAGAATATAATGAAATGAATGAATTAACTTACACTTGATAATCGCAATCTACTATTGAATAATCAGTTAAATACAAATTCATTTTAGGTTTTAAAAAAATATTTTTACTCGATAAACGACGTACTACAATGGGATTATTTCGGGTATGTAAATAAGTGATAGCATTAGCTATTTGACGTAATAAATATAATTGATTTGTATGAGATAATTTTTCACGTTTTATATGAAGTTTAGTATAGAGTGATATACCTTTACATGCACTAAATTTTTGAGGGAAGAGAAAAAGAGAAATTTATAAATAGAGAGAATTAGTTTTTGTTGTTGCGGAAACAAATATGATTGATTTATAAAATAGATGATTATGTAATATTTGAAACATTATGGTTAATGTTAGATATAACTGGATAGGTTATATATATATATATATATATAAATATTATATATATATGGTTATGAAATATCAAGTCTGTTGTAGTTTTACACTGCCTGAATTGTAAGCTTTCATTTTTCTTGGTGGAGTTTTTTTCTCTGAGCTGGATGGTTTGGTCGTGAAGCTTTCATCATTCTTCTGAACGAGATCATCAGCAAAAATTTCCACCTGAAGTTCAGAAAAACGATGAAAGCTTCACGACCAAACAATCCAGCTCAGAAAACAAAACTCCAACAAAATCATTCACATGAACTACAAATCTTCTCCATCTTCTCAAGCTTTCATTTTATTCAGAAACTATTGACGTGGGTTTCATCGCACATAAATTAGTATTGAATAATTGTGAACCTGTGACTCACTTTTTAATCATAAATGATCTTAGTTATGTATAGTTTTTGATTTGTTATTCGTAATGTATTATTGTCTTGTATTGATGTATATTATCATGTGAAGTTTTGGGTTAGAATAACAGAAACCAAGTTTTTTTTTACAGTTCTTATTACAAAATAATGAATAAAATGACAAAAGATTTTAAGGAATACAATAGACAGTTGAATTCAGTTCAATTCCTTCTAATGATGGCGTAGATTTTCAGCTCAGGTGAATACTTTTGCTAGCGTTATATTCTCCAAGTTAGATGATTTGATTGTAGAGCCTTAGTTTCTATTTTAGACAATATCTTTAATGCTTATTTCTTGTAGAAACAAACCTCCAAATTATTCCAAAGTATTACATCAGAGCGTTTGATAGCTTTGTTTAAGATTTTCTGTCTTAGTAGATTTTATTATCTTCATTTAGATTTACACTCATTCTTTCTTTGCAGGTTGACTTCTAGCCCTGCAACTGATTGTTCTCTTATGTATGTGATCATAGATTATGTATACATTAATGTCCCTTCTGATTGCTAATCGATCTGAATGTTGTGCTTCAGAAAATTCATTGTAATTATTTATATATACTTTGCTTGAGATGAATGTGATCTTTATTACGACAAAGTAAACTGAAGAATCGATTTACCTCGTCATGGACTGTCTATCGCAAGTTGATTGTATATTGGTTATTATCTAATAGTAGGTTACAAAAGGCGAACTTTGTGCCTGGACTATAGCATTAATGTTCACAGTGAGATCTGTATTTAGTACAAATTATTCAGAACTCCAGAGCATTTTCTACTGGAGTCTTATGCTAACTTAAGTAAATCCGTTGAGTTATATATATTAACAACAGGAATGTACGAACCAGTGAATGGATATTTCTTTGTTATTTAAAATGATGCCTAAATAGTTTGAGTTTCAATGTAAACACCAACATGGAGATGTAGACAAATCCATATGACTAATTTAAAATAGTCAGGAATATAGGTTTCGGATTACTAGTACTAACTAGTATTCAAAATACTAGTATGTAAGGATTAAAATCAAAACTAAGTGGAGATGATTCGAGATCTTAAAAGTAAGAAATAAACATACTTGTTATGTGCATCTTTATGACCAGTGACTCTTGGCATAATTTTAATTCCTAGTAAAACCAACTTAAGTTGTGAATGATTGATTAATTACTAAAAAATCGTCTTTTGAATGCTATATTCACAATGATCGAATGTTGTATCATGATAAAATACTAGATAAGTTGGGCTAAATTGATGAGTTAACGTTTTTTAACGAGTTAGTTTTTTACGGGATAGGTTCGCTAACCCCATGCCCAACCCTCCTCTTTTATCCGGGCTTGGGACCGGCAATAGCCTCAGAGGGGCTCCAGGTGGAGCCACGAGGCAAGCCCTCGCGTGGAATCCTCAAGGCCAAAGGAAAATAGGAAGACCGAAGAACACATTACGCCAAGAAACCGAGACATACATGAGAAAAATGAACAAAAATTGGATAGAACTGGAAGGAAAGGCCCAGGACAGAGTTGGTTGGAGAATGTTGGTTGGCGGCCTATGCTCCCTTGGGAGTAACGGGCGTAAGTAAGTAAGGTTGATGAGTTCATGTTTTCCTTAACTTCGTGTAATATTTTATGAGATTGATTTAATTCCCATTGTGACATTTTGATGTTGGTTTTATTCACAGGGAAGCATTATGGTTAGTACGATATTGATTTTATATTCTACATTCGTACCTTATTTCAGGTCAATATGTTTATATCCACTAAGTATGAATTTCATTTGATATGACAAGTGCGAACTTTCACCCAGTTTAACAATGATGTTTTTTGTATTATTCTATATGAACTTCATTTGTATATTGAAGTAACCCTAAATATCTTCTTATATATATGATGCGTATTTAATAGTCATCAAGTGTAAAATCAATATAAAATGAGAGTATTTGGTTTATTAATGACTACTACTTGCTTTTTTTGGTCGTAACTTTAAAGAGTTAATAATTCTTCATTTATGTTTTCCTCTCGCGTTGTTAGAGTTACGGTAGTTCACAAGTATAGGTAGTACGATCTTAGATATACTGACAAAAGTGTGACTACGTGTTATATGTTGCGAGTACACCTGGTTACTTATCCCAGTATATGTGAACAAGGACTGATAACTCTCCATGTAAAGGAGAAAGGACTGTAGACGATGACTTATTAAACACCCCGGAACAAATCCGCAAGAGACAGAATCACTGTTTTAACAAATATATTAAAATATACTGGGTTATATATCGTTTACTCATGTAATCAGTAGGTAAATTCACGCACCATGAAATGGACAATAGTTGGCACTAGTTAATCAGTGACATAATGTATGTGTATAATTTTTAACCTCAATAGACTAAAACTTATAACCGAACTACTGAGTCGTGCATTTAGCTCCTTCCTTACACCGAATTCGAAGCATACATTGTTATTGAATGCACATATATCATCTTTGTACCATTAAGTTTACAAAATTTCATCAGTCATAAACAAAGTTAGATCTTTAATACATGTTCATTGGATTAACTTGCTACACTTTACGTTAACATATACTAAACGACTATTAAACAGTTATTTTTAATAATTTATCATCAAACAGGTTGATAAATGTGAAATAACGTTCAGTATATTCTTCAAGTAAACAGAACTAAAAGGTTATGATCATTGAGGGGCCTGGTATTTCATAAATAAACACAGAATTATTATAAGAAGGGGTTTTGTGGAGATTTTAGACATTTCACTGGTTAAAATCATGAGTCAATTGAAGCTAGACCACCATGAAAAACCTGCAAGCACTGGACGGCCGTTTTATCCTAGTATAGGACTCCTCAGCAGTGCGCATTCACGGTCCCGCCCCCCCTCACGAGATTCGGACCCAGGACATATCACTCTCGTTGAGGAGTCCCATACTAAAACGAAACGGCCGTCCAGTGCTTCCAGGTCTTTCATGGTAGTCTAGCTTCAATTGATTCATAATTTCAGCTATTGAACCACAGAATTAATCGATAAACGTGATTCAACACAAGTTACATCACTAATGAGTGGCTTCTTTGTAACTACAGTTCAAACCTATATAGATCCATTTTTCAACAACAGCGTAACAGATGGGTAGAATACTTCGAGGAACTCCTGAATAGGCCGGCTCCAATGAATCCACCGGACATCGAAGCAGCACACATAGATCTTCCTATAGATGTCAACCCACCAACGACGGAAGAAATTAGAATGGCCGTCAGACAAATCAAGAACGGGAAAGCAGCAGGACCCGACAACATACCAGCTGAAGCACTGAAATCAGACATCGAAGCAACCACAAGCATGCTTTACCTTCTATTCAAAAAGATTTGGGAGGAGGAACAAGTGCCGATGGACTGGAAAGAAGGACACCTCGTCAAGATTCCAAAGAAAGGAGATCTGAGCAAATGTGAAAACTACAGAGGCATTACACTACTGTCAATACCAGGGAAAGTCTTCAACAGAGTGTTGCTGAACCGGATGAAGGATGCAGTAGACGCCCAACTTCGAGATCAACAAGCTGGATTCCGTAAGGATCGGTCGTGCACAGACCAAATTGCAACACTACGGATCATCGTCGAACAATCAGTTGAGTGGAACTCATCACTATACATCAACTTCATTGATTATGAAAAGGCATTCGACAGTGTAGATAGGAGGACATTATGGAAACTTCTTCGACACTACGGAGTTCCTGAGAAGATTGTCAATATTATCCGGAACTCATACGACGGACTACAGTGCAAAGTAGTGCATGGAGGACAGCTGACAGATGCATTCCAAGTAAGGACTGGAGTCAGACAAGGCTGTTTACTCTCTCCCTTCCTCTTTCTTCTGGTGGTCGACTGGATTATGAAGACCTCGACATCTGAAGGAAAACACGGAATACAATGGACAGCTCAGAATCAATTAGACGATTTGGACTTCGCAGATGACCTAGCCCTCCTATCACGTACACACGAACAGATGCAGATGAAGACAGCCAGTGTAGCAGCAGTCTCTGCATCAGTAGGCCTCAGCATACACAAAGGGAAAACCAAGGTCCTCAAATTCAAAGCGGAGAACAGCAATCCAATCACTCTTGATGGCGAAACTCTGGAAGATGTAGAGTCCTTCACATACCTAGGAAGCATCATCGATGAACAAGGAGGTTCAGATGCAGACGTAAAGGCGAGGATCGGCAAAGCAAGGGTCGCATTCCTACAATTGAAGAACATATGGAACTCAAAACAACTTTCAACCAATATCAAAGTGAGAATCTTCAATACGAACGTCAAGGCAGTTCTACTGTATGGAGCTGAAACTTGGAGAACTACAACAACCACAATCAAGAAAGTACAAGTATTTATAAATAGCTGTCTACGCAAGATACTCAACATCCATTGGCCGGATACCATCAGCAATAGCCTTCTGTGGGAGAGAACAAACCAACTTCCAGCTGAAGAGGAAATTAGGAAAAGACGATGGAAATGGATAGGACATACATTACGCAAATCGTCAAACTGCATCACGAGGCAAGCCCTAACTTGGAATCCTGGAGAGAAGCGAAAAGAGGAAGGCCAAATAACACATTATGTTGGGAAATCGAAGCAGACATGAAAAGGATCAATAGGAACTGGAAAGAGCTGGAAAAGATTGCCCATTGTAGGGTTGGATGGAGAATGCTGGTGAGCGGCCTATGCTCCTTCACGAGGAGTAACAGGCGTAAGTAAGTAAGTAATTAAATCGTTTTAGGACAAACATGTCTTTATTGTGAATACTTAGCAACATGTTAGAAACACTAAGATTTTCATTTTCTAACTTAGGTCGAACAATTGTGGTAGTAAACGTTAAAACATACAATATATACAATATACAACATATATTTAACCGATAAAGATAACATTTTGATATATCTGACAATGAATTTAATATCATAATAATGAATGAATATTGAACCTTAATTGAAATATAAACAGTAATTTGAAGGGAGTGGACCAATTTTCACTATGAAACAACAACCAAATATTTAACTAAACTAAGGAAATTCACATTATCATTGTATTTCAATATTGATGAATAAATTGGAAGAAAAAAAGAAAACAACCCAGAAGAAAAAAAGGGAATAAATAAGGAAAAGACAAACTAATAAAAAAAGGAATGTAAATGTTAAAAAGTTTACAATAACATATTGACTTAATCAATAAAATAAGGTCAAATTAATGGACATAGGGAAATATCAATGTTCATGTTTTTCTAGAAACAGTTGAAAACTTCCTTTCTATTACTTCAATTTATAAAAATGACTTATTTTTAACTTCTTTTCTCTTAGACTAGTTGTTATGAGGTTTATTAACTTGATTCATTATTCAATGATGTAAATTTATTGGATTTTATGTGATTATAGTTTACAATTTACTGTTAATTAACTATATATGAATGAAACTCACGAAGTGTCGTTTTACTTATATCTTCCCATTGTTATTTAGGACTGCAGTTGATCAGTCTCTCTTGACATATGTGCATCCTGTACAGATTGCCTCGATATAGCCTTAAGTCACAAGCTTTTTAAGCAAAGATGGTTAGTGTCTAGCAGTGAAATCCAGTTTGACTCGTGTTTTATCCTATTTGGGACTCGTCAGCTGGATGTACTTGCATCCCAGAGTTGATGTTCACTCCGGGACTTGAACTCAGTACTGTTCAGACGCCATCGCGTAATCCACTTAACTACTGAATCCTGATAGCCACCTGCTTGTGCAATGGGGTGAAGTTTAAATTCACTTAGTGCCGTTTTACTTGTATCTTTCCATTGTTATTTAGGAGTGCAATTGATCAGTCTCATGTTGGCATCCATCTGACGAGTCCCAAATAAGATGAAACGCGAGTCCTGGATTCCACTGCTAGCCACCATCCATCTTTGCTTAAATATATATGAATCAGTTTGTAACCATATGGTTTTTCTTGTTGTACTTTCATATAAGTTGACTGATAATGAAAGTATAAAGTAGTATACGTTAATTCAGTAGTCTAAATGAAACTTTTACAGCTGTTAATTATCTTTTTTTTAATTTTAAGAATTCGACAGTAATTATCAATATTGATTTCATGTTGAGGTACTGCATTGTTTAAGTTTATAGGACCTTTGACTTTCAACATATTTCTAATTACAGAATAAATTAATTATACTTTGAAAGTACAATCATATGTGAATAAAATGTATTACTTCGTTAAATAATTTCACTTAACATTGAAACTTACCTAGTTACAATGGCAAAATTGGGCGGATTAACACATACACCCATAAATAAAGCAATATTTTCATGTCTAGTCATCATAAGTCGTGTAATATCTTGCCAAAATCGTTTTCTTTCTGTACGACTTAAATCTTCAAAAATATGTACATCAACATCACCATGCCATTGACCTCTAACGAAAAAAATAATAATAAAAGAATGTCAATATTTCTAAATCGTTTCATCAACTATTGTATACTGATTTACTAATCAACTTATTTATAGTATTTAGATATTGTACTAATCATGAATAATAAACATATATATGCTAAATTATATTTACTGAATGGTTAACATTCATTTTATATTTGTAGAAAACTAATGATTTCAGTGATCATTTAAGGAATATGTATACCTTTTACATGTTCATTCATGTTCTTAGATAAAACACATTATATGACCGAATTCTTTACTGGTTTTTATTGTTTCTTATATTCCCATATTATCCTACACTAACTTTGTCTCGTTTTTTCATATTTACAAAGTGTATTAGAGTGAATGATTGTTTTCGCTAAATCTATCATCGGGTTCTTCAGTCGTATATTCATATTATGTTCATGCATATATATATATATATATATATATATATATATATATATATATATATATATATATATATTCAAGCAAGCACAATTGAATTACACCATGATGATAAGAATCTGTTTGAGAGTGTTAGTCACTTCTTTTATTCATCTTAGTAACTAATTTGAATAACTCATTCATATACAGTGTTGATAATGTCAATCTTAAAAATACATGGAATAACTGATTAGTATTCTGTTTACACTATTCCAATATGATACAGTTGAGTGATATTGTTTAAAAAGTCTTAACTAATTACATACAACAATATTAATTGGGTTGTCTTCATTTATTATTGATGCATTCAAAACCATAACCGTAAAATACAGTAGTTAAATTATGAGAAGGTGGAAAATATGGATGATTTAGGTAGAGTTTTGTTCTGTAAGCTGGATGGTTTGGTTATGGAGATTTCATTGTACTCCTACACAACATTAATAATATAAACTTCTACCTGAGAATAAAACTCCATCTAAGTAGTATTTGAATGTTAGAGTTAAAATAAAATGTATACTTGAGGTGTTGGAGAAGATTTGTAGCTCAGGTGGATGATTTTGATGGATTTTTGTTCTCTCTGCTGGATGGTTTGGTCGTGGAGCTTTCATCGTTCTTCTGAACGACATAACCGCTATAGAAAAGGAGTCAAACAAAAAACTATTATTCTTGGATATATTAATCACTAGGACCGACACAGAAAAACTGGAAACGCAAGTGTATAAGAAACCGACCCATAAAGATCAAATTCTCAACTACAATAGCAACAACCCAAGAGCTCACAAAATCAACTGCATACACACTTTGTTCAAAAGGGCGAGGACACATTGCAGCACACTAGCAGCACGAAAAAATAAAGAGAAATACCTGAAGGACATATTTCAAAAGAACGGCTACCTAATCAACTTCATCAAAAAACACCAACCGCAGGCGTCATCCGAACCCAAGTCAAGCAAAGAAATCAATAAAAGGATCACCCTACCATACGTACAAGGAATGCGAGAAACCGCTACGAGACTGCTGAGAACCTTCGGGATAGGTGTGGCACACAAACCTACAAAATCACTACAATCAATCCTATGCAAACCAAAGGATGAAACAACAAAGGAAGACAAATCAAACATCATCTACAAAATAAATTGTGCCAACTGCGAAAAACACTACATCGGACTAAGCGGACGCCCCCTTCACATTCGCCTACACGAACATCAATTAGCAGTTAAACGCCATGATATCTCTTCACTTATATCAATACACGTGGACAACTGCGGACACTCATTCGATTGTAAAAATGTGGATATCTTAGACAGAGGAAACTCCAAAAACACCAGAGAATTTTTAGAAGCCTGGCACTCAGGTCAATCAGCAATCAACAAGCATTTTGAAATCAATCCAATTTATCAACCAGTTAGGAAAATCATGCACAAATATAGGAACAAAAATCAAACCAATGGGAGATATAACCAAAACAAAGGAGGAAACAATGACAAATTTGAGGTCAATAAGAACCAATCAACGTCGAGGTGTACAGAACAAGCTGTGAAACTCATATGGAGAAATTCGAACACTTCACTCCTATCTGAAGTTTGTGCTGATGATGTCGTTCAGAAGAACGATGAAAGCTCCACAAGCAAACCGTCCAGCTCAGAGAACAAAACTCCATCAAAATGTAAACGTAATCTATCTTCAAGTTATTTTCTAACAAAATAAAACACCTATATATTACTGATGATCAGCTTTTATTTTCTGATGCTTGAAAGTGATCAAGTTTTAAAAACAATTTATTTCCTGTTTTACACGAAATTTCAGTTTCATGGAAAACCAGAAAGCACTGGATGGCCTTTTCATCTTACTGTATGACTCCTCAGTAGTGTGTATCCAGGATCCTACCTCGCGAGATTCGAACTCAGGACCTATCAGTCTCATACACGAGCACCTAACATCTAAACCAATGAGCCAGCCGGCATTCAGTAGTGTTATTGTCTAACTTCAACTAATCCAAAAAGTTGCACCATTGTCCACCATTGTCATCAGTGAGTTACTATCTCACAACAGACCTGGTTGAACTTCACTGATCACTGTTTCTTGCTAGAATTCCAGGAAATACATCTTAGAGACCGTCACTATTGAGCATATGATGATTATAATCAGAGAGAAGTTTTATAGATATTATAGTAATTTAGTAGTTGAATTTATCAGTCAATTGAAGTTAGATCACTATAGAAAACCAGGAAGTATTGAATGGTAGTTTAGCTATTTAATCTTTATATTTTATCGATCAGTTTTTCTACTATTTATCCTTTCATTTTTCACTCTTCTGTTTTATCTCATTTTCTTCAGTAAGTTTTCTATATATTCAGTAGTATATTCAATTCATAAATGAGATTTTATTTTCCACCAAACGTAATCTATCTAAATTAGATCATACACCTATTTTCTAAACTGTATATAAGTTATTTCTTTTTAAAAATTCAGTAGTGCGTAGATAAGTAGGATTTACTTACGAGGTTTTAAGGTATGGTTAATGATATCGGTATATTGAACAGTGCAGACCATTTTAAAAAGAAGGATTATTGATGTCAAACATTTATCGATTACTATCATTCTTATGAGAAAGATGATAATAATCCTTGGAAGGTAATAGATGTTGGAAATCGGGGATCACGTATTGATTTCGAATCAATATATATATATATATATATATATATATATATATATTGTTTATGATAATTTATTAGAAGACATAACTAGTTCCTTATCAGTTTTAGTTATTGTAGGCTCATATAACGTTTAAAATCAGTTTATTTGTGCTTAAAAAATGAGGCTGAAACTAGAGTAGACTGTAGTAAGGTATAATATATCTAAAGCGAAATACATTTTCCTAACCTGAAACAATGAATTCAGTACCATAAACTTTTACACTGTATATTATCAAATATCAGTAATAAAACAACATTTAAGCCTGTTATACATTTGATCGCAAAAGCAAGGGATTTTAGATTTCTGGGTCGTATTCATCACAGACTAATCTCAGTTAAGAAACCTTTGTAAACCAAAAAACAACTGTCTGGGTATATTATCCTAATAAAGAACACTTCATCAGCGTCTGTTCATGACATCAACAAGGATCGAATCTAGGAAATTCGCATCTAGAAATAAGTGCTTCGGCATTAGAACCAAAGGGCTGAGGTCCAACAGTACCATTAGAACTTTGAATACAAGTACCTTAACTGAAATCAGCCTGTTAAGAATACAGCCAAAAATTAAACCAGTCTACACAAAGCCTTTTAAACTAAATTTAGGAAATGGTTTACTTTTAGAATTAATATCATGGAAATTATGCGATGTCGTTTATCTCCTTCCGCTTGCATGGATATATATATACGTTCTTTCCGGTCTATTGGTTTCCCCGTTCTCCTTTTTAAATGGATTTACACACTTTAAATTAAATTAAATACAAAGACCAACTTACTCAATTTTCAGAGAGTGCTTCATGAAATTTTAAACATTTGAATTACTTTGCCTAAATAACAAACTTTGGGTCACGTCAACACAAATAAAGGCCCATAGGATTTCTGCTACTCAGAGCTTAGTTACATAAGACTCAAATGGACCTCTTACAAGTTCAATTTTCTAACGAATGCAGTCAACCAATAACTAGTCAAACTCAAGCGAATGAACAAAATATGCCCATTCAGATACATCTTCTGAACATATATATAATTGAGAATTACCTTAATTAGTACTAAATTAAGACACTTGAAAAACGTCATATTAGTAGTAAGTCAGAAATTTCTTTTTTTTTGAAGATGAAATATTTTGGTAGTGTTTTGTGCTCTGAGTTATGTGGTTTGACTCGCAAACTTTCACCGTCTTTCTGGACAACATCAACGCATAGTAGGCACTGAAAAGGTTGACCTGAACGACAATGAAAGCTCAGGAATTAAACCATTGTAGATCAGAGCACACAACACTACCAAAATATTCTATTTTAAAAAGAGAAGTTTATGATTTATCATTAGTACATTAGCTTCCACGTTTGTGAACATTAACGTCGTTATTCGTTCCAGGAGTGTAAAGCATCAGATCTCAGGTTCATTCTATTGATTATTGCCAACTTAAGTATCATTTATATAGCTTTTTTAGTTTTTTTAGCGAGTTGGTTTTCTACGGGATGGAGTCGCTAACCCCTTGCCCAAACATCCTCATTTACTCGGGCTTGGTATCGGCAGTAGCTCTAGAAGAGCTGCAGGCGGAGTGATTATCAAATTGTTTTACCCAACAAATTAACATTAATCAGACCATAAACAAATAAAATAATACAAATAAAACGCGTGCATTACATTTTCGACAGAATGTAATAAATGACTTACTTATAAATTGCTTTACGTTCACCTTTTTGTAAACATCTAAGTAATTTTATATCATTAAATGGGATATTGAATTCACATTCCGATGGTCTAATAATAGAGGAAAAGAGAAATTCAATACTTCCCGTTAATTTTGGTTTCAAAACACAATATGTAAGTTATATTCAGAATGGAGTGATCTTAGATGGAGTATCATTTTGAACGAAAGACCATTGAATACATTTTTCGTTTTAGTATTAAACTCCTAAAGGGAAGTCGCCTGGCAAACAGAAGCTCCTCGGATCCTGTAATAAGCAGGGTCTTGAGTATGTACCATTAAATAGCCTCATTTTTATCCAGCACTTTTAATGGTACTCGAAATGAGACCAGTTTCAGATAAGTATCACCAACAGAATAAAATAATCTCCATAGAGCTATTTCATCAAAAATATTTTTCTACTTATTTGAAGTTAAATGTTAACCATTAAATGTATAACTTCCTTCTGTACACACTTAATTGGAATGGTATTCAATAAAAAATGGTCATTAAAATGAAACAAGTGCTTTAAAATTTAAACCAAACTACTGTGTGTTTGACGTTAGTAGTATGTTGCACCAATCAGAAGTAGGATGTCTAGCAGCAGAAGGTTGAGAAGATCGAATTGAAGAGAACAAAAATGTAAATAGATCGTAATTGCAATAACAACAGGAATGAAGGAACGATGAAGTGTGCAAGAGACAATTGATGGAGGATTTGCAAATGAAGTACTTAATGTATGATTTTCATATTTCACCGGGACATTATGTAGTATTTTATCAAGCATTGAACTGATCTTCTTCACCTAAGTTCTCGTTCACTACACAGTTAGGAAGCACTAAATGACTGTTTCATTATAGTGTATGGCATCTCAGATCTCTGTACCCTAAAACCTCACAGAGATAGAACTCAAGACCTACCAAAGCTCACTACAAATACTCTACCTTATAAAGAATTTATTGAATATTTTATGAAGATTAAGACAATTCAGAGAAGAAAATTTTCTTTTAAACTACATCATTTACTTAAGTTGTACATTCATATTTATAGTTATACGGTAAATGCCGATAGAATGGAAGGAAAGATTTCATCATAAACAGATTCGAGATTCTAATTATCAAATGAGGTTACGTAATAGTCCGGGTGTTAGATCAAAATAGAAGAATGAAAATAATTTACGGGTCAAAATTATAAAAGATAATTGTCCACTTGAAAGATATGAAGAAATAAAACGAAAAACTTAAAGGTCATAATAATAACTGAATAATAATCATGAAAAACTATTGAGGGATAATAATAACCGATTACAGTTCATACACAGTTCCCTTTATTATCTTAAAGGGAGCAATCTTTGTTCTTGCTCTCTTTAAGATTACAGTTCAACATTACAAAACACATTCAAAAAAAAAAACCAACACATCCTACAGAAGAAAATTAGGGTCAAAGAAGGATAAAAGGTTGGATGTATCGATTTTGCACACTGAATATGGGCTTGAATTAGCAGATTACTAACTCCTCAACAGTGCACATATTTCTGATTCAACCTCCTTTCTATCTAGTTCCTTTGATTTTATAGGTAATTTTGACGGAAGACACTCTTAGGAGCGTCGTGTTCAGAGTTGATTAGGTAATTCTGTATTGAACCGATGACTGTTTTACATTCTTTTTTTAAAATCCACTCTGAGTCATGTCCTGGGATGCGATGATGGTTGGAGGTAGTCAACAGGAAACTTGGACTTAGATTTCGTGCTACTTGGCAGTCGTCAGCAAGGTGTATCTGTAATCTTGAGGGAACAGATGCTCCCAGACGGATTCGATCCCGTGTCACCCAGCTTCACAGTCAGAGACGTTATGTCAGAAGGTATGATCAAGTAAAGATTTGGGTACTTTTTAAAGCAAAGATGGATGATAGTTTGCAGTGGAATCCAAGACGCACGTTTCGTCATATTTGGGACTCATCAATTGCATCCCTAAACATTAATTGGAAGATTCAAACAAACAATACAAAATGAATTTGTTCTGTTGATGATGTTGATCTATGATCAATAATCAAAGTGATTGAACATTGTAGTGTATTAAATTTAATGGTAGTCAGTTACAGTCTGTTGACATGTAGCCATAGACGTTTTGCGAAAATTAACACTTGTCTAAAAATCTATCCTCAACGGTGATAGAAATCATATACATTTTAAGTTATCATACATATACGTCAAAATCTGATGAAAAGTTACTCATTACTTATCCCTTATATGCTGAAATAAAAATAGCACTAAAAATATTAAAGGCAAGTAGCTACCTTCCAGTTCCGTCTGTGCTAAACTCATCTTCACTTTCCAAATTATTCGATCTTTCACATTTGTCTGGAAAAAATAATTTTTGAGAAGAAAACAAATGACTGTATACATTTCTGTCTTCTTTGGAACAATTTTAAATAGTCTTTATCACAAATAAAAACTTGATTTTTAAAACAAAGAGACTGAATCGTTCTTATGCAATGATTCTTATGTTTAAACCGATAATAGTAATGACTGTAATCGATCAGTTCTTATCGAGGTATATGCTTTCTGATAGGATTTCTTTGATGTCTTCATTTATTTGTCAGTTTCTTTGGATTGTGGTTAGCAGTAAAATGAATATTTACTAACAGAGACTGTTCTATTGAAGTCCTTGATATTAATAGCAAGAAATTACGAACCATTACACATAACTTATTACCAACTGAACTAGTTAGTGACTTACCTGAATCAGTAGTTTAGTGAAAAAACGTTGAGACAATTGGACAAAAGTATAAAAACAAGCCAATCAGGTATCGAAATAATCTGCAATACGAGTCCATTTGATAAGACTGTAGTAAGAATATGAAGCTAATTAGAGGTTATGATTAGTCTATGCAAAGACAGTTAAGACAGTATGATTACGACTGAAAAACTATCTCCAGTATAAACACTGATAAAGGAATTCTTCTTAACTGTTTTATTACTTATTTACACTGACTTCGGATCTCAGGGATGTCTATTAACTCTACAAAATTTTCGAATCTCATTATAATTTTGTATTATTTTTTCTACTAGAAAATGGTCACTTTATAGAATGTCCTCTGATTGTCTAAAAATGACTTCGCACTGTGGAGATCATTTTAAGTCACTGTGGTTTATCCGAACATTTTAGACTCCCTCGCTGACCTTTCAAAACGATAACTAGTGGGTTCGAATATGATTTTGAGCATCAGTATAGAAATGGAGCAAAATCTAACTGACAATATCCACAAGGGAGGAAACGTGCTGATGATTTCCTATGCTTAAAACAATCCATGTGTACCTAAAGAGGATACCATTTGGAATACAACGGCGGGGATTTAAAATATCTGATTAGAACGGTAATGTTCTACAAATGAATAGTGTAGGATATTATGATGCTATGTTCCCAAAACGTACTGGATTTTTTGTTGCTCTAGTATATATCAGAAGGCAAACTATGTCTAGAGTAACTCAGTTATAATATCTTTCATAAAAGTTATAGATAATATGAATTGATTTTTTTCCATGGAGTTTTGTTTCCGACAGCGAGAAAAACAATTTCTCTGATTGTTATCAAAGAACTGTTCCGGATTCATAATTAGGTTGAATAGAAACATATGCATTCTGTGAAATACTTATTAGTATCACAAGGGGTTTTGTGGAGATTGTAGTAATTTCAACAGTTGAGATCATGAGTCAGTTGAAGCTAGACCATCATGGGAAACCTGCAAGCACTGGACGGCCGTTTCGTCCCACTGTGTGACTCCTCAGCGACGCGCATCAACGATCCCACCCCCCACGAGATTCCAACCCAGGACATATCAGTCTCGCGCGCTAACACTTAGCCATTGGAACCATGAGCCGGCCGGCATCCAACGGTGTAATTGTCTAACTTCAAACAATCCACCAGTACTTAGTGGAGTACCCCAATTTGGCGAGTAATAACTGGAGACAAAGACGCATTTACTCTTCAGACAGACTTAAATAATATGATAAACTGGTCTAAAGAGTGGCTTATGCCTATCAACGCGGAAAAGTGTGTCTACATGCACTTTGGGGATTCAAAGGTTAATAAGTACAACATAGGGGATGTGTCATTACCCGTAGTCCGGTCTCATAAGGATCTAGGGGTGACAGTGAGTAATGATCTTAAGACGACGGCCCATTGCCGGGAGGTCACAGCTGAGGGGTTTCGAACCTTCTGGGCTTGAAAACGTACACTCACCAAGTTAGATACTACCATGTTCACCACAGTATACACAACCTTAGTGAGAACTAAGCTTTAGAACTGCGTTCAGGCTGCAAGCCCCTGTTTAAAAAGTGACTTGGATATCCTAGAAGAAGTACAGAGTGCAGCTACCCGTGCAATTCCAGAACTCCGGGGTTTACCATACAAAGAACGGCTTGAAAAGCTGGCCTCTTTACTCTGTCCTATCGCAGATTAAGGAGAGGTCTAATTTTGATGTATAGAGTACTGATAAATGATTGTGGACCTAGCTTATTCTCTCTCTTTCTTCCCACTAGGTCGGGACACCTTAGAGGACATAGCAGGCGAGTAGAAAAGCCAAGAACGAACAAAATATCCGTGGCATACAGGTTTTCACACTGAGTCATCAATACTTGGAACCTGCTGCCTGAGGCAGTGGTGTCCGCATCTTCAATTGACTCATTCAAGAGAAAACAGGACACTCACAGAAGCATACTAGAAAAGGAATAACATGGGCCGTAGAGCTTCTGTTCTTACTACACAAGTCTGAATCTGAATCTGAATAACCCATCCACCATTGTCATCAGTGAGTTACTATCTCACAACAGACCTGGTTGAACTCCACTGGTCACTGCTTCTAAATAGAACTCCAGGGTATACCTCTTGAAGCCAGTCACTAGTGAGCATATGTTGATTAGTGTCAGAAGGGGTTTTGTTGAGATTGTAGTAATTTCAACAGTTGAGATCATGAATCTTGTTTCAATTTACTCATGATTTCAACTGTTGAAAATACTTGATAACCTGTAACACTGATCACCACGTTTTCAATTCTTGCATAAACGACATCTGACTACTATATATATATATATATATATATATATATATATATATATATATATATATATATATCATATTAAAGTAGTAATTCATTTTAAATTAATGTTCATTAGTCTTACAAGAGTTTAGATTAAAACCACGATGAACTGACCAAGAATTTGATCTTTTTTTAGATTGATTTTCATCAAATATTGATTTAGCTAAAAGAATTTGTTCTGTAATATATTTGAATTTCATATATGAATGATGATTTGGTGGTTTTAATAAAATCATATTACTACTATAAAAACGTGGACGATCAAATGACGATAATTGAGATGATGATGATGATGATGATGATAATTCTGATTCAGATTGTTCTTCATTATTAGATAATTCATTATTATTATTTATATAATTTCTATTATCAATTTTTGTAGAATATTCATTTTGTTCATACATATTACGTATAGTTGATAAATGTTTCAATGTAAATGGTGGAGTTGAATGAAACATTCGATGAACTGGTATAGAATGTGAAGTTAATGATGATGATGGACAATGTTTAACACAATGATGATGATGATTATGAGAATAAGTAGTATGTTTTAATTTATTTGGATGATCAATATTTGATGATTTTATATGAAATGTATTACTATTTCTATATGGTAGTTTATTGTTGATCTTCATATTAGAATTCAATTGATTGAAATTAGATGAACTATCTGTTAATAAACTAGTTTCATTATTAGAATGATTATGATCATGTTTATACATTGAATTACATGGATAAAGTTGATTATTGTTAGGATAGATTTTTGATTGATTCAATTCATGAATATGACCAAAACAATTAGACTGATTTGTAAACATGATATACTATATGGTTGTCCTGGCTTGTTCTCTTTAGATTGAATTACATCTTTAGTTGTATTTGTATATTGGGTTTGTGTAGTAGGTTCAGATTTATTTGATTTATTTACATTATCTATAGAGAAAAGAAAAAAGAGAATACATGTGAAAATCACAGGCAAGCAGAACTGTACAAACGACCTTAGAGGTTTTGAGCAAAATTCAAAAATAATAGATTTTTTATTGAATATCATGTAGAATGGTCAGAAGAGCTTTTATTTTTTTAACCCCATAAACATTGGTACAAGGAGGCAACGAATAGATATACGCCACATAAATCATTCGATTTATGTTAGGGCTGTGATACTGCCCGGGTGCCCAAACCGAAGCGGGTGGTTACCTTAGGGTTCCACACCCGGAGCCTTCGACCTAAAGGTCTGATCCACAAGGCAGTGGAGCATCGTAAGGAGATGCAGTCCCATGGTAGCCGGTGATCAACTATTGGTTCATACTCCATTTGTTCCCTCAGGATACTGGAGTCCATGTGCACGATTGGTTTTGAATCAGGGTTTTCCAACTCCCTTAGGTGCACTCTACATGTCTTCCAACCCGGTTAGAGCGCCGGACATCCACTTTTCGTTCTCCCAATTTCGTAAACAACGCCCCGCTCCACGAGAATGCAGTGAGTAGGACTTCCCTGGCAGAGGCTGTATACGCGTGGCCGTGTGAGAGCATTTCGAGAGGGAGGGCGGGCTCACCCCACTCTCGACCATACCAGAGCATTTGGGGGCGCTCAGAAGTGCTACCTCTGTATTGTGATCAGAATACTTAAAATTATAGGGAAAGCAGAAATTTTATCATCGTACGGTAGAAATGATGGTATTTAAGATATCATATGCTCAATTCTGCCTAAATCGAATGTATCAAACAACTCAATCAACCTTTTCGTCAAACACTTAATTATAACCAATCTAAACTTAATTCACAAGACATAACGTTACTCATCTAATTCTAAACTTGAACATTTTCCATGGACAGTACAGGGACTCTTGTTTATCTTCGTGAAGCTTCAAGATTTTTTTTCCAATTTGCGTATAGAAAAACCGGCTTAGATATAAATTTATGGTGTATAAATGGTGTAAAATCTCTGAACCCTTGGTAATCCTAATGTCTTTTCTTTACAGATTGTCCACTTATGATAACTACATTGTGATAGGGTAAATGTAGTTTTAGATTTGTTGAGGTTATTTTAAACTCACTTGTATAATGTCACTAGAAGACCCATTTTACGACAATATGCATCGAAACTAAAAGTTAATTTGTGCATGTAAAAACCTCAACAACAGAATAAAATAATGTATCAATGATTCTCTCTTCGGAATTGGTTCAAGCTACTTTGAAGTTTAAAACAGTGAAACATTTAATTTGTATATGGTAATGATATGTTACTCCGCCTGGAGTCCCTCCGGGGGCTACTACCGGTCCCAAGCCCGGATAAAGGAGGAAGGTTGGGGATAGGGTTGGCGCACTCATCCCGTAGAGAACTAACTTGCTGAAAAACGCTACGGCGTCAGGCAAGGTTGCTTACTCTCACCCTTTTTCTTTCTCCTGGTGATCGACTGGATCATGAAGACGTCAACATCTGAAGGGAAGCACGGGATGCAGTGGAAATCTAGGATGCCTTTGCTCCATTAGGATTAACAGGCGTACTTTATGTTTTCAGTGCATAATCAAAGGTGTCAGTGTAGGTAGATATTATTTTTCCTCTATGACTTCGGACTCTAAATATCAACACTAAATTCCTTAAGCCTGTTAAAGAACGAGTTACAAATCATCACTGTGCTATGGATGATGCCATTTGATGACGAAAACAATGTATCATTATGTTATAACTTGTGACCACTGATTATGGAGCAGTGACTTATCGATCGAACCAATGACGCGAAAACACGTGCGACCAGTCTAGACTTCTAATTGGCCCTACTTTCCTTCTAGCCCAGCCAGATAAGTCCAGAACATAAGTTTCAACCTCTGCGATATGAATCATTATATTTCAAACATACTCTGTTTATATACCAATCAAGCAGACCATAACGGACCATAAAATAGCAGATAACATTTGTACAATATTTAGCCAACAGGAAAATGACACGTGAAATAAGCACTGACCAATAAGAGAATAACACCATCTCCAAGTCCAAGAATAGCATTAGACCTAATAGAATAATTTTTGGGATATTTCTTTGAATATCCCAACACATTATAACTCTAGTTCACAACAATAGCTTAATTCCTTATATGTAAACCTAGCCATTTTCCCTAACCATGATAAGTAATTTAACGAGTAAATGTTAATTGATCGTTTGGAAATCATTACTGCATTTTTGTTTTTTGTTTTTTAATAACAAAATAGTGTTTCTTCATTGGTTGATAAGTCTCTCAAGGTCATCAGTATAATATGAAAATATTAAAATGATGTAATAGAAATGTACTACTGAAACAATTAAAAGTAGAACTAACTATACACCAAGAAATTCATTAATAGGTTTGTTCGGAATAAAACAAAAGGAACAATATAATATGATTTGATTGATTTAAATTGTTCGCTTAAATTATTTCAGCTTAAAGCAATTAAGTAGAGTATGGCAATGACATAGGTTTATTAGAGCTAGTAGAATTTCTTTCAAGACTTTTATTGTAGTGCAACTGTAGAATGGGGACAGCGAAGCGGTTAAGATTTCTGTCCTTGAACATTTAGTTGCTTTCTTCATATTCACATCCTTAAAACATCCAAAGCACTAGCTACCTATGAAACAATTCTGGAACTGTTTTTTTTTACAAAATAAGTAAGTCTCTTCCTTATCTTTACTTTAAATTCTAACTATTTTTTGATGGAGTTTTGTTCTGTGAGCTAAATAGTTTGGTCATGGAAATTTTATTGTTCTTCTGATCAATATCATCAACTCAGACATCAAGTAGAAGTGAACTTAATTTTTTGGCTCATTGAAATGTTACAAATACATTTCTTTATTTATAAAGATCTACTCAATGCTCAATCTATTTGAAATTATCAAGTCAAATCTTGGTAATGACACTTACAAACTTATGAATACAACATAGTTTCCAACATTTTCCTGGAACTGATATTACATGTATTGACAATTGTAAGAAATCCTTGATTGAACAATGTTAGAGATGTAATCAGTTATTAGCCAACTGAATGGTTTGAACATTGAGTGCTCACTGCTAGGCATAAACTACTTGCGTTCAGTTCCTGGTCGGGCCACAGATGAATTTTACCGAACATGTCCATACTAGGATAAAGCAGGCTTTGAGTGTCTTTTGTTTTCCAATCGCTCTTTGATTGAAGTCAGTCCACAGTGTAAAGTTTAAATGTTTTTAAGCTTAATCAAAAGTTGTGGATAACAATTAAATCATAATGGAGTTATTCAAATCACCTATGTGAACAAGTTGTTTATAAGTTCTCATTACCGTTTTGATTAATGTAAAATTGATATGGAATCATAATTTTATTCGCGTAACAGTACAATATCATATTTTGATTAGTCACTTATTGTTAGTTGCTGTAGCTGACTGACTGACCGACTGACAATCAGAATTAAAGATTAAATATTTTCAGGTAATAATAATTGACTAATTTTTGATCTTTTTCATAATGTTCATCAATGAATACTTTATTTGTTCTAGTAGAAAGCAGTGACTAGTGAAGTTCAACCAGGTCTGTTGTGAGATATCAACTCACTGAAGACAATGGTGTACGATGGCGCAACTTCGTGGATTGGTTGAAGTTAGACATTAACACCGTTGGATGCCGGCTGGCTCAGTGGTCTAATGGTTAAGCATTTTCGCGCGAGACTGATAGGTCCTGTGTTGGAATCTCGCAAGGGGGGCGGGATCATGGGTGCGCACTGCTGAGGAATCCCATACTAGGACGAGACGGCCGTCTAGTGCTCGCAGGTTTTCCATGGTGGTTTAGCTTCAATTGACTCATGATTTCAACCAGTGAAATTCAAATGATAGTCTTTTAATATAATGGGGGTCTTTAAACGATTAATTTGGTATGTATAAATTTACTGATATATTGTTATACTTTATTTCTCTAGGCACTCAATTATTCCGTATTCACTGAAGGTTATTTATTGATTATCTGTACATTTACTAAAAAAGTATCCCTTGCGTTTCATTATGGTCAACATTCAGAATAAAGATTAAGACATTATGTTTATCTTCTTTGTAAGATAAATTAATGATGGTAAGAAATATAATAAGCTAAATCTCATATGACATTGATCCAGTAATCTTTTAAATCTCAAAAATCAAAAAATGTAGAACTCACTGAGGTGCATCTCTCAAGCAAAAAGAGAATGAACAATATCTATAATAATTTGTGGCGGAGTTTCGTTCTCTGAGCTGGATAGTTTGGAGCTTTCATCGTTCTTCTGAACTTCAGGTCGAAGTTTGTGCTGATGATATCGTTCAGAAGAACAATGAAAGCTCCCCAATCAAACCATCCAGCTCAAAGAACAAAACTCCACCAAAATCATCCACATGAACTACAAATCTTCTGCACTATTTTCATAGTTGATCTGTGTTTATGAAAAGGAAACTATGTTAAAGTTTAAAACCACAAATGAATTAATTTAAGTATATACATAATAGAATTATTATAGAGAATATAACCTAGTTTCTAGAAATAATACCAGTATATTTTGTAAATGGAATATTCTGTCCTATTTATTTGACATAATTTACAATTCACTTAATTCAATATAGTAAACAAAAGGTAAAGATATCAGTAATGTATTTTTTTAAAAATTAAACCATAAAGTTTTAATGTTTATATTGAGAACATTCATAAACTTCCATTAGAACGACTTCAGAAGCATAGGCAAGCGTGGAAATGTTCAGTCTACTCAATGTTTAACAGCTACTGTCCAGAGAGTTCTAGATAAACGCTTGTATGATATAGTAGTGAATTTCGTTACTAATTTTGGCATATTGATAGAAGCTTCTGTGACATCAAAGGCACATAAACTTATAATTATTTTTAGTACTTCATATCTATGAATTCGGTTTCGAACTCAGAGGAAGGAAATTTCTGGGAACCTGGAATTA